AATGGGTATATATCACATGCCTAGCAGGCTCATCTGTCGTCTCAGCGGGCTTGTGCTAATGCTGCCATCCTCGCTGGCATAGCAGGCCGAGTCCGTATCTATGTCCCATTCGGGCTCGGCTTCATCTTGGGTCTCTTCATTTGGCGTGCCTGTTCCCGTAGCGTCGCCCGAATCGAAACCCTTTTGCGTAGCCGCTCGGGTGTTCCATCGCAGCGTGCGGGATACGCTGTCGAACCACTCGGTCTGGCTGCGGACGACCGTGGGCAGGGGGTACTGCGAGGCCGTGATCGTGACGTAATCACCTTGCTTCAGCTCTACGCGGCCCTTGCCGTCGAAGGCACAGTAAGCTGTGGCGCGGGAGCCTCGGGGCACAGAGACCCGCAGGGCCATGGTGTCGGAAAGGACCATTGGGCGGAAAGACAAGGTGTGAGGGCAGATGGGGGTGAGCAGGATAGCGGGGATATCGGGGTGCACGAGAGAGCCTCCTGCGGAGAGGGAATAGGCAGTGGAACCGGTCGGCGTCGAAAAGATGCAGCCATCAGCCTGCACGACAGTCAGGAGTTCGTCATCGCCGTAGAGCTCGAGGTTGGAGACGTAGGGTGATGGACCGCGGTCGATCACGAGCTCGTTAAGGACCTCGAATTGCTCGCCCTCCTGAGGACCCTGCCCGTTGACGCCACTGCGGTACACAGTACATGTAAAACGCATACGCAAGTTGACACGCATGCCCTCATCTCCCATGATGCGACCCAGGTGCTGCGTATATTTCTCGAACTCAAAGTTGGTCAGGAAGCCTAGGCTGCCTAGGCTGAAGGAGAGAACGGGGGGGACAATGCGCTGGAACAGCCACGACGTGAAGAGTACGGTGCCATCGCCGCCGAGGGTGAGGACGAGGTCAAACTTCTCCGGTTGCGTCCAGCAGAGGTCCGGGGTCCAGTACTTCAGCATGTGCTGGAACCGGGCATTCTCGCCAGTGATACTGCGGGAGTCGAAGCGTTTCGAATTACGCAGTTTGGCATCGACGTAGACGTTCACACCAATGTCCGAACCGTAACGCGGGGTACGCAGGAGCCACAAAGCAAGTTCGCGGGTCAGGTAGACTAGCTGGTTGTCGCGGGCTTTGGTGACAATCATGACATTACGGACGTGGCGCTTGATTGGACGGCGCTGAAGTTGCTTGGCAACTTCGCGAACACCAGTGGCTGTCTGAACGAGTCGAGAGTGCGACATGGAGTCATCGTTCTTGATCTCCTCAAGCACCTTGTCGATATCGACGGCATCATTGAAGCGGTTGTGGTAGAAGCATGGTGACTGCAGCGTCGGCAAGGCGGTAGTGGGTGTCATGGCTTGAACGGCAAGGTCGTTGAGGGCGTCGGCGAGCTGTTGCGAGGAGCAGTTCTTATCGGGGCGGCTATCGTGAATGTCATGAGCGGAGAGCATGCCAGTGAGTGAGAGGGCCTCGGGTTTGTTGTGACGGGAGACAGATGAGGCCAGGGCCTTCATGATGGTCTGGCGCGGGACCTCGTGAGAAGGGGCGTTGCGGCGGTGGCCCTGAGGTGCGTGAGTTGTTTCGTGAACACGGGCAATCTGGGCGGCATGCGGCGTATCTTCTTGGTCGTGCACCTGTGTCTCCGAGTCGGACAGCAGGGACAGGGACTGGCGTAGCGGAGGGTGGGGTTTAGTATTATCGCTGAGGGCGGGGTGGAGGGCGGTGGGTGAAGTGACGAAGCCGGACATGACAGCGGTTTCTCCGACGGACCGAAAATGGTGGCAGACGTGGTGGTACTGACAGCTGGAGTTATTTTAGGACGTCGTGTCGAGCCGAGGTGGTTGTTGCGTTAAGTCCGTTCGGGAGGGTCGGGTAGGTCCAAGCCGTCGAGCGTTCCGTTCCACTACTAGGTAGTCAGGAGGGAATGAATGATGTAACAGGGAATAAAAGGCCCGGGGATGCGGGATGCTGTTGACTACAAGCAAGTTAAGTGAAAGCAACCTGGATAGTTGTTGGTGATAAGGTAGGCAGAAGTGAAAGGCAGGCAAAACGCTCGAGGGTTTGGTGAGACACAGCGAAAGTCGGATCCGCAAGCAGATGATGAAATAAAAGATAGGTAGGCGTAGGAAGCGAATAAACGGAAAAAAGGAGACCAGAACTACCAGAGTTCTCAAACTGTAAAGGAAGGGAGAAAGAAGGTGCCTCGGACTCGGTGCAAAGATGAGTGAGTGCAGCCAGACAGCCTGGATGATTTCAGCAGTGCGTGGGCACCAGGTGTGTTTTAAACGCAACTGCTCTTTCTACAACATTTCTCTTCTTTGCCCACCGAGCGAGCGTGCAGCTCCCGCGCGATCGGGTCCAGTGTCAGTGCCAGTGTCAGGTGCCGCCTGCCTCCGTCCATTCGTTCAATGGCTTTGCTGTCCCCCCTCCCCTGTGGGGCCCCCCCCCCCCCCAAGCCCCCGTCCTCCTTGCCATCCCAAGATACGCGCAGACCCTGAAGTGGGATCTAGAAGGGACAAGGGCAAGGGAAGGCAAGGGAAGGGAGTACTGGGGACGGGACACTGGCGAGGGGCGGGAGGGGGGCAAACATGAGGTGAAGCTGTTAGAGCTACCGAATCCCTGTTGACAAATTGCATCCTATTGCTCCAGTCTGGCTGGGCGACTGGCATCCTTCTACTTGCCGCCTTGCGGTGCGACGGGCTTTCGGCGCTCACCTTTTGCAACAGGAGCTGTCATTGCCAGCCTGCCCTGCTCTTCTCGCATCTGGCCCCACCACTCCGAGGCGTCGCAGCACGCGTCCATGTATGCCCGCTCCAGTCAAGTTCCCTGGCTGCGGGTCCTAGAGGGAATGGCGTGAACAACGGAAGGAATTCGTGTTGCAGCCAGGCACACACAGACCCAGCCAAGGGGTTCTGAAGTCGAGATGAAACGCGGCGTCAACCCGCGCGACGACAGGAGCATTCAAACTTGCCTTGCTAACCTACCTACTTACCTTACCTAGGTACATTGCCTATCTACCTTACCTTACCTTACCTTCCTACAGGTAAGGTACCTACCATCTGCCTCTGATTGTCGTCCACAGTCTCTCTCAGACATGGCGCTTGCCCTTGTTGCCGCGCACCAAAAAGCCATTCAAATGACAACGTCAGACTTGCAAGGATGCGCGGATGGACCGTCAGGGCACACAGCTATCGCATTGCAAGCTATCTCGATGCCAGGGGCGTGCTCAAAACCTCTCATATTTCATTTCTCTGTTGTGACTTTTTGCATTGCTACCTGGCACGAAACGACAGACTGAAGAGCTTCTCGCGCCACTCCCCACGTCGCCCAGACATGCCGAGTAGCATGTTTCCCAGGTCTCTCATCTCATTACAACGATGGATTCTGTTTACGGGCGAGACGATCTTCGACCCGGACATTTGTAGCCACTTTGACCCCAATCACTTGCAGCCGCGACCCAGTGCCGACAACGTGTTTGGACCTGGCATTCTTCCCCGTAGCCGTGAACCTCGCTCGCTCATCGTTTGCGTCCAAACAGGCGCCTGTTCCTTCTGCACCTCCATCTACACAGTCAGGCTCACCTCCAACGTCCATCTGATGCAGCCTTGGCTTCTGTTATCGACCGAAGGGCACGCACCATATCCTGCGCATTCTCCTCGCCTTCGTCGTTACCCTGCGTCGTGCCCTGCAGTTGTCCGCAGCATCGCTTCAGGCCAAGCGCGGCGGCTGCGTCCCACTCGCCCACTGTGAAGTTGCCTTCGCTCTCCGCTAGGAGCAGATCTCCCTTGGCGGTGTATCCAAAGACGTGTAATGACTTGGCTTCAGATGCTTCACGCCGAGAAGGCTCACCGACAATCTTTGGCTCACCAGTTGACTGCAGGATCGCTACGATGACGGCTGTCGCCACGCCCTCGAGAGGTACGGCACCGGAAATCAAGGCGAGCAGCGCTGCGTGGAGCAGCGCCGGAAGAGCAACAAGGTTTTGCTGGGCTTGGTTGAGCTTGCTGTTGACATAGTCGTCCGTAGGCGTCTGGGTCACCTGAAGGGTTATCTGAAATACGCTGCGTGGGAACCTCTTGGTGCAGATAAGCTGTTGCAGGGCCGCTTGCAACAGACTTTCGAGCTGACGCTCTCGTGTACCTGAGAGGTGCGTCAGTCAGTGCGCGTTTCGAAAACAGTGGATGGGGGAGAAAAGTCTTCTCACCTCCGACACCTGCTGCTGGTCGCACCGTCACATCAATGACTGCTTCGAAAGGGTCTTCATCCCGCCTCTGAGCCTCTATGGGCCCGTTGACCGAGGCCACGATGCAATGATCATTGTGTGCAAATGTTGCTGAGCCATCTGTCCGGTGGAGATGTGACAGTCGGCCTTCCGCTAGCTGGGCCCCCATGATGCTTGCTCAAAGCGAAAAAGGCGAAGCTTTGTTCTGCGTGTTGAAAAAACAGACAATTACTACGTCTCGTCCGCAGGAACTGAATTGCTGTGTCGATGGAAGTATGATGAAATCCGGGTTTTAATGAGAGTGATGCAAGGTTGCACGGACATGCATATGGTTCACAGGGACCGGATCCGAGACCTGCGTTGCCGTCCCGTGGGTGGGAGCTTCAATGGTCGCGTTTTTTGTGGCAGGTTCGCTAAGTCCTCATTCAGCGCCGCCCAGCTAGGTAGCTTGACGAGTACAGGTACCTAGGTACCTATTGTAAGGCACTAGGTAGGAAGCAAGGTACCCAAGGTACCTAATGCAAGGTGTTTCTCCCTAAGGCAGGTAGCTGTAAGTGACTTGACCTGCCCTCTTCAGGCACCAACCGCCATTACAGTCGGAGGGTCTCCACAAAATGCAGCCGCAGCTTCCAACTGCACTGGAAGCACTGGCAAGCAAACTTCAGAAGAGTGCCGTGGAGTGGGCATCTCGGATCGTGCTTTGGAACCTCTGCTCAACCACTACGACCACTTCTCGCGGTCATTTCAAAACCCTGAATTCGTAGTCGCGGCGCAACCTATTTCACGGCCATGGCCTCATCCGACGACGTTATCCCACGGCCAGCCCCCGCCGTAGAGATGGCGAATAAGCAGATTAGAACTCCAATCCCCAAGCTCGAACCCCGTCGCCGGAGTGCTGCTCCCTCAAACCCCCTCCCTCGCCCAGAGACGCCCGCACTTCCGTCGCCGCCTGATCTATCAAACTTGTCGTTTGAGACTCCGTCTCGCAGGATCCTGTCACCAAAGGACCATGAGATCTTCCTCGCCTCGCCGACCTATGAGCTCATACTTGCCTTTGTCTTTGGCTTGTCTGAATCGGTTGTGGATACTCCTACCTCCGCCGTCAACTTGGAGGATGTCAACCCCCCTGTCAAAGTCATCCTGAATATTCTCGATCATGTCGAAACCCTCTTGAGCCAGTCGCCACCCACAGAACAGGGCGGGTCACGATTTGGCAACAAAGCGTTCCGAGACTTCCTCGACCTCATCAAGGCGCAGGCGCCTGAATGGCACACTGAGCTCGGTATCGACTTACCCGGCGCCGGAGAGGAAGCTTCTACGTATCTGTTACAATCATTCGGCAACAGGATGCGTATAGATTACGGTTCTGGCCACGAGCTGAACTTCATAGTCTGGTTGCTATGCCTATACCAGCTCCGCATCCTCGGTCGCGCCGACTTCAGGACGCTTGTGCTCACCGTCTTTGGCAGATATCTGGAGGTCATGCGGCGAGTCCAGTTGACTTATTACCTTGAGCCAGCAGGTTCCCATGGCGTATGGGGTCTTGACGACTACCAGTTCCTCCCTTTCCTTTTCGGCGCATCGCAACTGCTGCACCATCCCTTCATTACTCCCCTCGCCATTCACCAGCAGCTGACCATTGAGGAGTTTGCCTCAGACTACCTCTACCTCGGACAAGTCAACTTTGTCAACACGACAAAGACGGTCAAGGGGTTGCGGTGGCACAGCCCCATGCTTGACGACATATCTGCCGCCAAGTCCTGGACGAAAATCGAGGGAGGCATGCGCCGCATGTTTGTCGCCGAGGTGCTCCGTAAGCTGCCCGTGATGCAGCACTTCCTCTTTGGTTCGCTCGTACCAGCCGAGGAGGGTATGAGCACCGAGGAGGCCCTCGGCATCGGGCACGAAGAAGATGAGTCCGAAGGCGGCGAGCTGACACTTGATGGGAAACCCAAGCACAAGCATCAGCACGTCGGTTGGGGTGACTGTTGCGGTATCAAAGTTCCCAGCAGCGTTGCCGCCGCCGAGGAGATGAAGAAAAGGGGCTTAGGAGACACGCTGCGCAGGATACCGTTCGATTAGCCCAGCAGATTAGCAGTTGCAACATCCTATCCTACATCAGACAAAGTAGGCACACGCTCAATGTAGTGCTGAAGCTCAAAATTGCACTGAAAAAAGAAACTATGGTTGTGTGTGTGTGATGAACTCGGTCAGTTGGTCCGCGTGCTCTCTCCCTCTTATGATTTCCTTCGCTCGGCCATTCTCTAGCCACCCATTACATTATAATATCGGATAGTCCTCATATGTATCCAGACCATGTGCATAAACAAACATAGGTACGAAAACAGGTGCGTCAAACTCATCTTGTCCAGAAACGCCTCTACTCAAGGCCGAGCGACTCAAGCCTCTCAATGCCAGGAAGGTGAGCCCACCGGCTGGACCTGGGCGAGCCGCACTCAATGTCGAACCAGATATCGGGGTAGTAGTCATCGACGGAATCGAGAGCGTAGGCAACGCTGCTGCCGTACAGGTCGCATCGGGCAACGTTGAGATCACGCTCCGGATAGAAGCGGTAAGACTCGCAACCGTCGGTAGCATCCATGACGCTCTATCAAAGGTGGTTAGCATCGACCTAGATAACGATCAAAGATACGGTGAAGACTTACGTCGCAAAACTGGTAGCAGCCCTCGAGCGTGACCGGCACGCCCGGTGAGTTCTCTACAAAGCGAGCGAGGAAGTAGTTGCCGACGGGCTTGCCGTGAACACCGCAATGCAAGCTACCAGTCTCCGGCTTGCCGGTGGGGACACTCCCTTCGGAAACAGTTTTGGTAGGGGCCTCAACAACCGCTGGCTGCGAAGTCAAGCTCGCCACGCTGATGGGGGCAATTGATGTGTCGATGACACAGCCGCTCGTGCTGGACGGCAGCGGCTCCGTTACAGCATAGGTCGAGAGATAATCGGTCGCGCTGTATGGCTGCGTAGAAGATCCAGACACCCCATGGGACTCGGAAGATATCGATGCGGAAGACTGGCTAGCATAAGCTTGATCCGAGGGGCTGACTGTTGACTGCGTCTCGCTGAGGTAAACGTGGCCAGACGACTCAAGGCGCACAGTCGATTCACTAAGGGTCACAACTTCGGTAGACTGGCCATATGGGAAGTTGTGGGCGGAGCTTGGTTTCAGTGTCTCTGGTTCGCTAGTGGCCTTGGAAGATTCGGGGAACCTATGGGATTCGCTTGTCGTGGCGTCTTCGTATGTATCCTCGTAACCAGCCACAATGTAGCCCGCTCCATAGGCTGTGAGTGTCTCGTATGGGCTTGCGGTGACTTCGGTTTCGGATGTCAAGACGATGCCAGAAGACATGCTAGTCATTGCGGACTCGCTCGTCGTCACAACCCCAGAGGAATCCGTCGTAGAAACAGTACTCGAGTAGTTGCTGTAGATACGTGCGGAGGAGGAGGAGGGATGCACATTGAGCGTTGACACGGGCGGGCGGGGATCGTGCTCGGTGTATTTGTTAGGGGCGTACTCGTTGGCAGCGTACTCTTTGGCAGCATACTCCTGGGGGGCGTACTCGTTGGAGGCATACTCGTCAGGAGTGCGGGACGTAGAGGTCTGCGAGCTGTAGGACTGGGTCGTGGAGACATTGGCTGAGTGATAGAAGGTGATGGGGCGACCCGTAGTTTCGGGGTAAGAATGGGGAGTACCTGTTCCGTACTCATAAGTCGACTGACGTGTCGTTGAGGTATTGGCTGCGGGATAGGGTGGCGAAACCAGGGTGGTAGGCTCTGTGTAGATACCACCGGTTTCATACTCGCGGTCCTGGGTGGTGGTCGAGATGTTGACAAGGTGGTACGTCGAGGAAGAACGAGTGTTGTTCGCCGGGTAAGGATAATCACTTGCATGTCCAAAGCCTGTCTTTTCTGTGGCTGTAGGCACATAGGTGGTATTGTTCGAAGGGAAGGTCGTGGTGGTGGTATTTCCGGGGTAGGGGGCATAGTCATACTTAAGTGACGTGGTGGTTGTCGTTGAGACGTTGTGTGGCAGATACGAAGGGACTGTAGGTGCAGTGTGCTCTGGATAAGGATACTGCGTCTTGTTCTCGACTTTCGTCTGCGAAGCATTCTTCTCGTACCCTTGAGTGTTCGTATTGGCGTATTCTGAGCCGCCTTCGGTAATATACTGAGTGACTTCAAGCGTGGTCGTGGAAACAAGGACATGACCCGGGCAGTCAGTCACACTGGGGTCCTCTTCAGGCACCGAAGGTACATTGTAAGCTGGACCCGGCGGCGGCACAACATACGTGGGTTCCGTTACTAAAGTTGTCGAATTGGTGCCATTGTAGCTGTGAGCAGCCTGCCCTTGCAGATGCCGAGATCGCAGAGCGGCAGCCCACCTGCCGACACGTCCCTGATGGCCATCATGATCTAAGGAGTCTAGACGCTGGCCTTTGTCGTGTTTTGCTGATTGTAGGGCACCTCCTGCCTCTGCCAGCAGGGCTGTAGTTGCGCCGAGCAGGACTGCAAAACGCATGGTAAGGGGCAGCTGTTGTGTGAAGGCCGTCGAGTCAAGCAATCTAAGGGGAGTTGTATCAAGGGGCTGAAGGAACAAGGTAAAAGAGTTCGAAGAGATGATCTAGTGAAAGGTTGCTTGTGTGCTTGGAGTACAGAAGAGGAGAAGCCATTGTGAAGTCAGTTATAGTCGTCCTTATATCGAAAAGTTGCCGGTGAGCCGCGAGATCGGAAGGGATTAATGACGACATGTTGAGATAACTAGGGCTATGTGAAGGGATTTTGAGGGACCTAGGAATCAATTCTAGCAAGATGGTTGACTCTGGTAAGGCATATGAGGGTGCAATATTGGGTCAGAAGGGAGAGGGAAGTCTGAGTGCCGAGCCGCCCTGCAAGGGACAGGTTAGAAACAACCACGAGGCACTAAGACCTCGGACCGGCAACCAGTGCATCAACGTCGTGACTTTTGCGGTGAGCACAGCGAAGACGACGAGGAGGACTTGAGAGAATACTATTCCATTTCGTGTGATCTAGTTTGATGTCTCGTCATGCTTAATTGCTCTGTAAGCCACCCCGTGAATCGTGCTAACGATCCACTCAGCCGGCGCCTTGCGGAAATAAAAAGGAATGCAGAGCACACACTAAATAATCGACTGTGAATGCCAAATCCAAGCTTGATTTCCGTAATGCCTTGAGAGACGATGTAGGGAAAGGGTATCAAAAGCAAAACCCCAAACGCCGCGAGCGAACCGCGCCACACTAATGCCAAATGCAAAGCAGAACATTGACCGAACCAAACAAACAAGCTTACACCGACCACAAGGTGCTGCCTTCGCACATAATATAAGCCATCACAGTCTTGCTTGGGCTGTTGTCGCACCTGGGCTAATCCTCCCAAATCGTTTCCAGATCGAGATCGCCTCTCCTCTCTGCACCACAAACGCTCCAGCGCTTCCTCTTGTCACGAGATCCAAAACCAAGCGTCCTGCCACGTGTTGGTACATCAAGACTGCTCCGTCCCTTGCCATCGGCCGTGTCGGAGCCTTCTTCGGCAGCTTCAGCATCAGCCTTCAGCTGTGCAATCCTCTCGGCTTCCATGGCGGCTTCTTCAGCGTCTGGCGAGTCGGGAATTGTCTCTAGGCTCGAGATGCTGGGGCTCCTCGATCGAGTGGACGTGGGTGTAGAAGGGACGGACGAAGATGGAAATGGCGTGAGCGTGCTATAGCTATTATGCGAAATCTCGTAGGCCCGACCCAAGGGGGAGGAAGAGGAGGATGACGGCGTGGATGGAAGCATGGGCACGGAGGTAGTGGCCGAATGCCCATTGTAACGGAGTGGCGAGGAGGGCCGCCGGTATCGGCTGGCAGCACTGGCCATCGAAGTCGCTGAGGATGATGAAACACTACCGAGAACGGGGGATAGGCTCCGTTCTGGCAGTGTACGATCGTGGTCCAAGACGGAAGAGCGAACAGGAGAGGTCGGGAAAGCTTCGTCGACAGGCTTGCGAGCGACTCGAACACGACTAGGAGACCCAGACGGGCTCGAAGGACGCAGCTGTGGAGTATAGAGGATGTGCCCTGAGCCGCTTACGCCAGGTAGGGACTGGGCGCGGGACATTTGTGGAGCAAGAGAGACGGCCGACCTCGACCTCTGATGAAAGCCCGATAGCGGTGAAGTTGTTCGAGGACGATAAGGCATCGCTGGCGATACGCCCCAGGTGGGAGAGTTCGGCGACGAAGGGTTGGGATCGGTGGAGCGGCGGATTGTAGGGGGTTTCTTCAGTGGTTCAGTATCAAGAGAATGGAGAGTAGGAGGGCTCTGGAGCCGAAGTGATGGAACTGGAGATGACCGGAACTGCTCCAGGCTTTCCATCTCAGGCACAGGCTCCATGTCGACTGTTGCGGAGGTGGTGACGGACTCGACGACTGTAGGAAGACATGAACGTATGGCCAGAGTTCGAGGATCTGCAGATGTGGTGAAGGGGATTTCAGCAGGGAGGGTGAAGATGCGGCTTGCTGCACCCGAGTGGTCACTAGAGCGGAGAACCGTGTATCTGGCGCTTGCCTGTGGTCTGGCCCAAGTTCGGAAATGGTGAGGAGGCAGAGATATGAATTCGGATCTGTTCGTGTGCTTGTGTTATGCTTGTCCTGTGCCTGGGTCACGGGCAAAGCTAGACTGCATCAGCACTCAGCACTGAGCATTCCTTGGGAGACCCTGAAGCTGGCCTTGCTTGACTCGCAGAGTGGCGTTGTGTGCTGGTGTATCGTGGCCGTTCCAGGTTTGGGAGGAGGGAGCTCGTCGAGTAGAGCGTTACTGGGCTGTGCTCGAGGAGTCTGGTTCTTCTCTGTCCCTGGGCTGATTCACTGGACAATTCATTGGTCTCGGTCTTCGTATTGGCACTGACGGATCGTGCAGTGAATGTCGTGAGCCAGGGCTGGCCTACAGCGATCCAGGTCCAGGAGTGCTTCAGGTTGTCGTTGTCTCGAGGAGGAGAGGGGGGGCTATTGGAGGGTTGAGAAGTGGAGGGTCGAGAGGGTGCCAAGAGGAGGCCGGAGCCAGCAGCCAGGGGCCAGTGTCTGTAAAAGAGGATTAGCGCAATGCAGGTCCCTCCAACATCCACTTGGCCCTCCTCATTGCCTCCACTGGCGGGTAATAAACCCCAGTATTCCATTCCTCCCATCGTTGCCCGCCCCCGCCTCCCTTCTTGTTTAGCATCCCTTGAACTGGACCCAACGCACTTGCCCGATGCTCTGATTCTCAAGCCAAGCGCCTGTGGAGCTTCACTATTCTTGAGGAACGAAATCAATCCTGATTTGGACACCAGCCTGGTGCCTAGGTAGGTAGGTAGGCACCTAGGTAGGGAGATGTGTGCTTTCTCGTGTCCTGGTACAGGACACGAACCACGTGCATGTGCATTATGAAAGTACCTTTCAGCAATTCAGACACCTTATGTAAGGTAGATGGTAGTGTGCTGGTAACCCCCCTGCATGATGTCAATGTCGCCGTAGCCTGACAACAGTGTTTTTGTTTTTAGCGCATACTGGTTCGGCATCCCTTGAACCCATATTGCCTACGTACCCAGTTTGTCTACACACGTATGCGTGAGAGGTCAGCTTCTGACATTCATCCTGAGACACACGGCATGCAACGGCTACTGCGACGCTTGAACACCATGCTTATTGACAATAGCCAGATTAACGCTCTGGTCCTTGACTTCGATGGCACCATTACGAAGCAGGATACCATTTCCGTCTTAGCTTCTATCGGGCAGGCTTTTCAGCGACGACATCACCACAGCCTGAAGCAACCGTGGACTTCTGTTGTAGAAGCTTATGGTCGGGATTTCCAAGACTACACCTCAACCTACGTTCCCGCTCCTGTTGATCGGACCACCCTGAGTGAGGAATTGAAATTTCTGCGAGGGCTTCGAGATGTTGAAAGTGCTTCTTTTGGCCGAGTTGGAGATTCAGAAATCTTCCACGGCATGAACAAAGAGGACTTTTCCATGGCTGGTAATGAGGCGCTCAGGGATGGAACAGTTCGTTTGCATGATGGATTTTCTGAAGAGTTTATGGCCTGTGCAGCCCTTCAGAATTGGCGCATTTACGTCATTTCAGTCAACTGGTCCTCCTCTTTCATTCGCGGTGTCCTCTCTGGATTCCCTATCGACACAATCATATCAAACGAGATACGCTCCGATGGCATAATTGTAGGACCAGGTATCCTGGGCCCGCCAAGCAAAGAGACGGTGCTGGCGACTTGCCTGGATAAAGCACACGCTCTTAAGGCACTAGTCGCGGAGCAGAATTTGGATATTGATAACGTCGTCTACTTCGGAGATTCCGTATCGGATATCGAATGCTTGATCTCTGTCAAAGGCATCATAATGTCTAGCGGGCCCGACTCAAGCTTGATCAAGACTCTCAAACGGACAGGTGTCACGGTACAACCGATAACATGCATTGACAAGTCCGCAAATTTGGTTTGGGCTTCAAACTATCGAGAGATCATGTCAGTGGCACTCTTTCAGCCTGTGTGACATCAGCCTGTGTGACATCAGCCTCTTTGGATGCCCACATGGATGGCCAACTTATTAGCACTCCTTCAGTGCGTCGTTTCATGACCAACGGACAAAGGCACCTCGGTTGATTGCGCCATTTAGAGTGGCTGTGCCTGGATATTCACTAGAACCTCAGATTAATAACAAAGGCCATGTTGATCCTTTGTGTGTAGCGACCTAGCTTTCCCTGCATAGTATTAAAGTCTCGATGGGCCGTTGAACCCAGGCTCTCTCAATCTCCTACTCCGAACGCAATGATTAGGCCCGTACAGCCATGGACGAAACATACAAGCCACATTAGCCATTTTTTGACACGAACGCTCAACATCTGCCCTCACCAGCTGCCTCACCCCGAAATAATGTGCTACTACCAAGGTACAGTGTATGGGTGTTTGCATTCCGATGCAGGGCGCAAAGTGGCCACATGCAGACAGCAACGCGAGTATCTCGCTGGCAGTGGCGAACCTGAGTGCACCCAGGAAGATCATCATGCCTTCCACCGCTTGAGGGTTCCGCGGAAGTGTTTCAAGTGCGCCAAGCTTGACAGTACAAGACTCCAAGCGAGGCAACTCTTGGATTCCATGAAGGCCGACGTAGACAAGTGTGTTGCAGCCAGAGGCGGTGCCTGGGGCTCATCGAGGGAGTAGCGTGCAGCCTCAAGTAACAACAACGACAACAAGCAGAGAAGGTACCGAATCGGCCCTAGCAGGACTGGCCGGTCTATAAATGATGGTAATTTGTATTATGATGTTCACCATATGTGCGACCATCTAGACGAAATGTAGAAGTCTCCGAGGTCTCTTAAAACTTCCATGCGACAAGCTTTACTCTCGTTCATCTGCGTGATACCTATCCAAACCAACCCCCCCCCCCCCCCCCCCCCCTCTCCAAAAACAACAACCCTAGATGTTGCCTGGAAATCCAATGGCGAAATTACCCAGATTACTGACATGGTGCAGTGCGTGTTACGATTTATCATGGGTTTTGTTGTTGGACCCCTTTAGGAAACCAAACAGTGCTAGGTTGTGTACGAAAATGCTGCACAAGATACAGTCACCAATGCTAAGATCGCTTTGTGATAAGAAGGCAAGCATGTAGCTGCAAGATCAAGTGACTGGATCGGCAAGGCCTCACGAGTATCCGAATTTATTACAAGACGTGTCGTGGCCTGCAAAGGCCTCATTCCTATCTATTAACTACCTTATACTACCCGTGGTGCCGCAGACAAGAGCACACTGAGGGGAATCATCACCCCCTATCACGCAAGCACCACGTCCTCCATGTCCATATCGTCGTCGTCGTCTGCCACTGCGTCCGGCGCACTTTGATCCAGTGCTTGGTTTTGAATGAGTTTGAACTCGGGTTTGATCTCCCACTCATTGGAATGAGGCCCTGACCTATTCATCACTGCGATTTTCTCTAGTTCTTGACGAAGATACGCTTCTGGCTGGTTGAAGGTTGCCTTGAGAACAGACATTTTCCAGTACTGGAATCTGTTGGTAAAGGCATCGAGAAGAGCCTCTCGCAATTCTGTCTCGTCCATACGAGTGGCTTTGTTGGCTGGCTTCTTTTGTTTGCTCGTCTTGACCGGATTCGTAGTTTTCTGCTTTGGTCAGCTGGGTCTTCCGGTTCATGAATGCCAAATTACTCACAACGAAAGAGCCGAATTTAGCCTGGGCAGCGGCGGAGCCCTGCTGAATCACCCCGCTGATCTGGTAATGATCCACGATCTTCAGAGTATGCTTTGGCTTGTGTGCCTCCATCTGTTTGAGTTGCAGAATTGCCCTGCTCTCCTCGTTGTCTACTGGTTTGCAGCCCATCTCGTACTGGATACGGGCCCTGATCTTTGTTTTTTCTTTGATACATTAGATATGTTCGTTTCCCAAAAGAAGGAATAAGACAGGCAAGACTCACTTGGTATAGCCTTCCGATAGAAAGGCTGATAGCGAGCCTTTCTGTCGAAGGGCTTCCGTGCAGGCCTGTCAACTTTCGGTCGTAGCAGGTGTGCTGGTATTCCGTTGTTCGCCGCGTCGTTTCTCGCTTTTGACTTCGCTTTGAAGCCGGGGAGGTCCTCCTCGGAGAAAACAAAGGTTCCCCGCGTGAGCTCTGATCCCATCTCCAAGTCATACTCCCTGGGCATAAGCTGGTGCCCTGCCAACTCAGAATTCAGGAGCATCCTGAAGCGATGCTATGGAGGGTCAGCAGTGGCAGCGAACGAAGATGGAAGCACAAGCTTACATCGACTCCTCCATCTGGGCGGATGACGTCCCATTGTCTCATGGTGCCAACCTCGATTTCCGCGTCCTCAGGAAGATTACTCCACGCGTCCCAGATCTCTTTAGGAACTTTGGCTAGGTAGGCCTGGCTGAACGTGCCAGAAGCACCACTTGCATCATAGAACTCTAGATCACCGGCATCTTCGTAGAGGTCGTCATCCTCAAGCGGTGTTGCAGACGGGGATGCAACGGCATCAGGATCTGGCTTGATATATGGCTCGCTTTTCACCGGCACGGGGTCGGCCATGATCGTTGTGTTGGAGCGTTATCGAAGGTGCGGAAGACGGCGAGTTTGGGATTGCGCAGAGCTTTCGGGGCAAGTATTTGAGGGACGTTCTGGTTTCTCACAGTAGAGAGTTAATTCGAGTATCTGTGCTGGCCGACTGTTCTCAGGTCCTGGCGGATGTACAAAGGATTGAAGTTCAAAGAGATCACAGCCTTGAGGAGCTTCTTTGTGAGGTCATGTTCCTACCTGCATTACGCATAGACGTGGTCCTCGAGCTGTTGTAGGCACACTACGTGATGATTGGTTTAGAGAAGGGCAAAGGACCCATATATGCACAAAACACTCCCCACCCCCTCTGACGAGCACACTAAGATAAGATAACAGCTTCGACCTCATGATAGGTATCCCTTAAGCAGCACCCAGGGCCATTGTCCAACAAGCCAGGGCAGCCGACAAGTCTCCAACAAGCTTCACGAGGCGACTCTCCAAGCGCCACAACATGAAGAATCGTCGAACCTGATGGCTTTAGATTGATGCCGTATTCTCCTTCAAATTTCCTCTCGATCTTGGTCTTCCTTTTTCATTACAGCTTCCAACACATATCACTAGAAGCTTGATCATTTACGATTGCAACCATTTCAACGTAATACTTCAAGATAGTGCAGCCATCCATGCAACAAAGTAAGTAGCTCTCTACTATCCATGAACCCGTGATCTTACCGTCTCGTTCTGTTTCCTGGAGTGTATTCGCTGACATTATTGTCGCTGCCCTGACAGTGCCTGTACCGACCTGCATTCGCGAAGTGCTCAATTCCTATTCACCTCTGTGCTGATTCTCGGAATCGTCAACCTTCTGAGGAGTGCACAAATATACATACTCGAAAACCATCAAGGTGGGAGATAAATAGGTCTACCCGGACACTATGCCGCCTCCCAAGTCATTAGCCGAGCTATGCCTCGAAGCTTGTCAGAAGCATATAAGCCAGCTAACAAGCTTTGGCGATGGCGACTTTCTGCTACCTCCGCATTATGTTCGCGATTTGCTTTCGAGGATATGGGATCCTGCTCAATTACGCACAATCGAGATCAACTCTCCACAGGTTGCCACTACTGAAGCCTGGCAGCGCCTGATTGCAAAGGAATTTCCAGTCGAAAGTCGGGACAAAAACTACTTCCCCAAAAACCCGACCAAGTGGTACAAGATTTACGAGAAATATACAATGGAGCGTCAACTTTCTCGGCAAGAGGCCGAGGACCAATTGCGCCGCCAATTCCAGGGTCTTCAAGATAAGAAAGAATCTCGTGTCAGCAGGCTTGTCGACGACCCAAAGTTTTTGCCGCGACCTCCAAAGACCGGCCGGACCTTTGGGACAAGTGCGCGTCCTAGCGGGAGAGATGCGCCAAGCACCCTCCGTTTTGGCGGTGGTACTCGCACCAAGATGAATACTGGCGCCGGCGTGCTACGTAAGGCTCGTCGACAGGCTGCAGAACATCACCTCAAGCTTGGGGGCGTTTTAGCCAGACCAGTGAGCAGGGCCCCGACAGGCACAGTCATAAGAGCCCCTGTCGGCATGGTCAACGCTCATCGAATCGCCGCTCAACCAGCATTTAGAGCCCGTTCTTCACTTCAGCAGAACGCGGCCGACATTCGGGAATCCAGCAGGCCCAACCCAAAGGCCAATTATATCTCGGATTCATCAGATAACGAACTTTGGAGCGAAGACGAACAGGACGACGAACAGCCACGTCAAGGCAAACGAGTGAAAACTGATGTGACCGCTCGAAGTTACAATACTTCACAGATAACATCCTCAGGCGCCTCTTCGCAACCGGCAAAGCGCCCCGGGCTCCTCTCGAATGCACCCAAGTCTAAGGCCAAAACAACAACATTCGCAGAAGATCAATCGACGTCGACATCATCCCGCAACACGCGCCATAGCGACTCGACAGGCGTACAGGCGAAGCCGACGCGCCCAGCTCAGAATACTCCACCACAGAGCCTCGGCAGAGATATTCCTGTGCCAGTGAGTGGCTCTCGGAGGTCACCGCCGCAGTCACGCTCGAAGGCAACATCTCCGACCCCTAGTAACCAGCAGTCTATCTCTGCAGCAACCAAGAAGCGAAAGGCAGTCGATATATTTATGCCTAAAAAGCGTCGATAATGCGAACGTGCATTCTTAATTGGATTCTTCAGACTGGTTACGACATACAGGCAGTTTCTGGGCCAAGGTGTACCTGTATAGGATAGGGTTGGGAGCGTGGCGTTAGGATGGTAGATACCTGGGTTTAAGGTGACCAAATGCGATTGTCTCTATTTCTGCAGTTTATGCCAACGAATGAGACATCATTTCACTGGTGACGCTGGAATTCGGAGCACTCAAGCAACCACTCTTTGACAAGCCTTCTCGGACGTCAAGTAGTGCAGCAGAAAGATTAGCATGGTCATGATTACGTATATGCAGCCCCTGCAGTCTACGGCAGTTGAGACTTCCTTGTCTCCGCGTCAATACCCATCACATCGAGCCCGATGACGCCGGCCTTATGTGCGTGTAGCGGTCTGTTGCACGCAGGATCACCTCTGAATGGACCACCAGTGGCATGATATTTGTTTGTATTTTATGTCTCCCAGGGCCTTCAAGACCATCCGACTGAACGTATTATTTGGCGCCCATGGCAGCTCCGCCGCGAAGTGCCAGAACAAGATGAAGTGTCGCACCAGCCTCGAGACCGTATTCGGATGCTGACTTGTCGTCAACCCTGCACTCGGTCAGATGTTGAAATTTCTTGGAATATGGGTATTCGAGAAGCTGGTTAGGACCTACATCTGCTTGCCACCGAAGATGAGGCGCTGTTGAACCGGCGGTATTCCCTCCTTCTCCTCTACCTTCTCCTTGATCTGCGAAACCTACGCAAGTAAAGTCAGCGGACAGTGGTGCTACTGATTCAGGGACCACAAACAAACCTTGTATTCATTCTCAATATCCAGCTCAATCTCCTTGCCCGTGAGCGTTCGGACCCTGTGTCGCAGCCGTCAATCAAGGGACTGTGCAGAGGGTTGAGTCGGGGAGTCTTTCGTACTTGATGAGCATCTTGGTTGTAGCCTACGGTCGAAAAAGTCGGTAGAACGGACGCGGTGAGGTAAATGTCTTACGCAGCTGTTCTCTGAGTCGATGGTCGGTGAAGTACCTGCTACCTTAGGTATTAAGGTATTCGGAGGCAAGCCAGATAGATAGTCATGTAGAAGGAGCTCTCCCATCCACCAAACTCGCTAGAAGGTCGCTGCCTTCTGGTGGGGGCGGGGTTCTCCCGGCCCGCCCCAGCACCAGTGAGTGGGTCATCGACCTAAGCTCGGAGGCTCGCTAGCGTTCGTGATCGTCAGCGGCCTGTCAGGCCTGTTCCTGATGCCTACCTTACAGACTGTGAACGGCTGAACCCATGGGGTGAAGATCAACTATTTACTGTGTACCTCAGTTATTAGAGATCGCAGCCGCAACGTATCAGTCTGCATCAATAATATGTCAGTAAGCGTTACATCTAGCTCTCAAAGCACAGCCATTTTAAATTCCTCCGGGTTCTCCGTACATATGTCCTAACGATATGCGCTGTTCAAGCGATACTGGGGGAAGTAGTCCCAGTTATTTCCTTCTGCAATAGAGAATCTTCGAGCAGCTGCTGGACGATGGGTTCAAGGAGTGAGACGCGTGAGAGGGAAGTTTGAACCCAGATCAGATGAACAGCTCCTGAGCATGACAATCACTGTAGCCCTTCGCACTATAAGGTTGGGCTTGGGTGATAATGTCAAGAATAGTAGAGACGGACTCGGTGTTTGATCCTAAGATCAACCCTCAAGGCTGTTCGTTAATGGGAGTATAGTACAGGTTAGCCGGATCGGCTTTGGTGTAGTACAGTGGAGATTTAGCATCCTGGGGAATCGGTGGCGATGAGAAGCTCAATGTGCTCTACTTCTTTTCCACATTCTCAAAGACATTGAGACCTAGACCCTCGGAATCTAGCAGGAGCCTGTTCTTTCCGCCAGATTCCTGCATCTGCTGGGCGATGAAACGAGCGTTCTCGATCTTCTTCAGCTCGACGTAGGCCTTGTTCTTTCTGATGGCGTCACCAATCAGCTCAGCTGACCGTGCCTCACCCTGTGCCTTGACGACCATAGCCTGCTTTTCCTGGCGAGCCTTGTCGACGATGAAAGCAGCCCTTTGGGCTTCTTGCTGCGCAACCTGCTTGGCCTCTACAGCCGCAGTGAACTCTGGCGAGAAGGCGAGATGCTACAGACCACGTCAGTACTGAGGTACTAATATATGGGTTGAAAGGACCAACCGTAAGGGACACATCGTCAAGAAGGATATTAAAACGAGCTGCCCTCCTCGAAAGGTTCTCGCGAACAAGCTTGGCAACCATCTCTCGCTGCGTGATCAGCTGGCTCGCGTTAAACTGTGCGACGACACTCTTCAAGACCTCATTCACGATTGAAGGAAGCACCCTCTCGTCATAATCGGTGCCAAGAGTGCGATAAATCTGCGGCAGAGCATTGATTTCCGGTCGGGACAGCACTCGGCATGTAATATTAACCATCTGCAGATCCTTGGTGCCGGTCAAGGAAGCGACGCTCCTCGGCTTCGCGCGGACATCATATACAACCGGCGTTTCGAGCCAGGGAAGCATGAAGTGTGTGCCTGGAGTAACAAAGATGAGCAAAGGGGCACAATTTCAGGAGCTCGAGGCTCGGATGACACGGATCTTAACTATACCTTCGTTGTAGATATCCTTGCCGACGCCGCTAATTCTCCGGTACTTGATGGCTCTCTGACCACCGTCGACGTTGAAGATCGCGTTCTGAGCAAAAAAGGCAGTGCCTGCTAGGGCAATCATAGCTCCGACGCCCATACCAACACCTCGAGGTCCTCCAGGCATACCACCTCCGCCTCGTCGCTGAGTCTGCTGCGCTACGGCGCGGAGGCGCTGGTAGGCCTCCTCCATTGGGTTCTTTCCGCCGGACATGATGATAGTCGATCTCGGGATCGCCTGCGTAGTTGTGCTTTTCGCGTAGCCGAGAAGGGGTCGGAAGCGTTCGATCAGAATCAAAAGTCGACAGCTGATTGCATGGAGCACAGGGTTGGTCGCGAAGCTCCGAAGAAAATGGAAGACGGCATCGACCTCAGGCGTCGAGGCAAGACGCACGGACCATAGCGCAGCATTACCTCAGCACTGTGCGCCAGTACTCTCCCTCATACTCATCAGCGGCCCACCACTTGAAGCCTGTCTCCAGGTCCATCCTCACGAGCTTAGTTACCTTATCGAGGGTATATCGAGGCACAACAGGTTTACTTGCGATATTCCTCATCTATTCGAACGACCGGACACGCCCCATCACTTAGACGTATACATTTCGTCTTCGTCACTTGCGCCGCACTGAATCTGGTCGAACGCGAGAGTTCTCGACAAGCCCCTCACAAAGATGTCGTCGCAAACCGCAGCACAGGCCAATCCAAGGAAGCAACAAGGTGCGTGATTCGCAAACTTGATGGACCGTCTAACTGACGTGGTTCCGACTTAGAACTGCAAAATCAGTACACTGTCTACAAGAACACACTGCAGCAGATTGCACAGAAGATTGGTGATGTAGAGCAAGAGGCTGAGGAACATAAGTACGTTGCCACAATTCTTTTTCGTATCCAAGTCGATCTTTTCGTTTTGGTCGGGCCTTTATGTTCACGAAGACTTCTGTGCGCAACTGTGAGCGTCTTCTTTCTATAGAGGCTCCTCCCACGTCTTGTAGTCTTGACCGCCCTACCCTCATCGCCCCTCTAACCATACTGCAGGCTGGTTCTCGAAACCCTGCAGCCGCTGTCAGGAGACCGCAAGGCATTCCGTCTTATCAATGGTGTTTTGATGGAACAGACGGTCCAAGATGTTATGCCTGCGCTCAAGACCAATTCCGAGGGCTTGAAAAAGGTCCTTGAAGACCTTGTGAAGCAGTACAAAACGAAACAAGATGAGTTGGAGAAATGGAAGGTGTGTATGGCCCCCCTCACGACACCCGGAACCTGTTTTAACAAGTTTTACAGAAGAAGCACAATATTCAAGTCGTCCAGTCGTGAGATCTGGCCGATTACCTGTGCGGATAAAAGACCAATTGCCTGGGAGATAACTTTTGCACGAGCGCAAAGTCACAGACGCAACTTTTATTAATACCAGCCAACGGCTATGTATCTATTCACCGAGGTATTCTACCGCTGGGACAGATCGGGTATGCTGCAGCGGATTTGACTGCTGTGTTAGAATGACCTCGGCATGGTAAGGAAATGTGGGAGCGAACCTGCAGCGATATCATGTTGCTGCCACGTGCTGTGCATTGTTTCAGCAAGAGACTCGAAATCCAGATCTTTCGAATCAAACCGTAATGTGTCTGTATAACACGAGACCTGGCACAGGGCCCTTGCGGGGCGTGCAATGACGGTGAATCTCGTATGTGGATTGCCTTGACCACGGTGACGCCATAGGATGTGGGTTACCAGATTCGTTACCGGAGAACGACGGTGCTTGAAATCATCAGAGGGTAAAGTTGTTCATTGCCAGTCACGATGTTTGAGCCTTCGATGCATGTGTGCCCGGTTGATTGGTGTGTGTGAGTGACTGATGCCTAACTTGGCTGACAAGGCATTCCGGGGCATGCTCGGTCAGGGCTGAGGGTGCCTCTGTGTTGTCTGTAATCTAGGCGCAGGCCAACGCACAAGTATGCAACCTTCTCGGCGATCACCCATGCGCCTTACTTCCGACGCTGGATGTGCAATGCTCTGCAGCGCAGCAAACAGTATGCCAGGACGGTCTGTGTGAGGAGGCAGAGCTATTGGCTCCCAAATGAAGGGGCCTAACATGCGTGAGTGATGCATGCAGGGACGCCAATACGATAGCCTGGTTTGGACGGCCAGCAACTGGCGGATCTGTAGTGGTGGACAGTGGTGGACAGACAGATGGGAGACGCTGAAGCAGTCCATCGCAATGGCAGTTGAATACTCTGACCGACTGGTGTTCATCCTGCAACGGCGGCCTGACCAGCCCTTCGAACAGCCATTTCAGTGAAGTGTCTCATATGCGCATCCAGATCCAATGTGCCTTGACCCCCCCTGCTTGTTTGCAGACCACCTGGTAAACGGATAGATGCTATCGATAACGATCCAGCTTTCGTTGGTCAATCCTGATGCTCGGCGTTAGTAATGCAACATGGATTCGGATCGCAGGCTTCTCATCCTGTACTCACTCATCCTGTACTCACTTGCCAAGGTCGGCATCGGACAGCCATGGGGTCTTCCGTTCGGTCCGCGCCTAAAATCTGCACCTAACCAGGTAGGTAACCTGCAGGAGCTCACCGCTCGCCACAGGACATTTGAATTGATGTACGACACAACGTGATCTTGACGTTACGGTAAAACATTCAGCACGCTCGCATAGCATTCTCGAATTAATGAGGATGAATCTGTACTCTGACGTTTTTTCTTTTTGCTTTAGTGAATTTTGCCACGACGAGTGACGGATTTTGTTGCACCTTGTCAGGCTTGGACGGGGATGAGAGATTCGCGAACCCGGTTGAGACGCGAGGCGGGACGTCATCCCACTGTCTCTGTCAACGAGCTCCCAAGAGGGGCCAAGTCCTAGGTGGGAGGTGTCGCTGTTAACTAAGGGCGGGCCTCTGTCAGTTGGCCAGGGTCCCTTCCTAGGTAGGTACCTACCTTGCCTGCGCATTCGCTGCACCTTGTGGTGTCGCATTCAGCCGCGTGTTAGTGACTGCCCAGTCCCTGCGTGGCTGATAGGTACCTCATCGAGAGCGAGGGCGACATATAGTGGAGAAGGTACTTCGAGGTCCACTCAGTCTCGCGCAATGCAGAGGTATCGCAAGTGGTCAACACATGAGCCAGCCTAAAAAGATACTTCCCTACACCAGCCATATTTACGTGCCTTATCTGCTGTTCCCTTTTCCCCTTTGTTGACGACCTTCCCTGCAAGCGCAAGGCGCTCCTGCTTCCCATGTCATTCACCTGCTTCGAGTCCCAATCCACTTCACGTTCTCCCTCCTGCAACACCCCACGTTCTTGCAGCCATCGATACGAGTGCCCGGCATCCCAGCAGTATCTTCCTTGCGACATTGACCGAACAACGCAGGCACCCAACGCGCAAAAGTTACAGCCCAAGCATCTGGGCGCCCAAGCCATCAAACAACCAAGTGACTACACAACCAGGCGACCACATTGATGACCTGGCGCCAACAGTAGAGGTACGCATAAGGGTCACTCCCGCTTGCCTGTGCCGGCCTTGCCTTTCTGACACGCCATTGCAGCCCGTATACCCAGTCATCCCGCCCTCGCAGGCAACAGCCCGATCCCCGGTGTAACCCGCGCAACTGCCCGAAGCCGCACCCATAGCACCCATTTGCCGACACCGCGCTCACGTCACAGCCCACTCAACTGATTTCAGCCTGTCAAGATTGATCTGTCACGCGGTCTACCCACCTCCGCCTCGTCATCGCGCACCTGCTACCCCAGGTTTCTTGCGACCGAATCACACTTAGCGTCTGCCTTCCTTGGAAGACATCCTCCTGTGCCTTCACGCGTCCCCAGCGGCCTGTCACGATCCACGAGCACCATCAGCGATTCGTCACAACCCTAGCTCAAGATCTAAAGAGGGGCTAGCACTGTAGGATTTGACGCAGGTGTGCAGCTAAGCCGCAAAACTTGCAAGCCTTACCGTTTCCTGCAACGTGTCAAGGAACACATCACCTAGCCCGCTGTGCGATCCGCGAGACCCAAGTAATTACCAGGACGCCAGCAACCGCTGCAGGTAGCCAAATATGTCGGACTCCCCCCAATCTGCTTCGAAGGATGTCGACCAAGGTGTACCGTCACCCGACGAGGAAGGACAAATGAACGACCCCCAAGACCCACACTCTGGCGGGCTCACCTATGAGTTTGAGGTAAAAGAGCAAGACAGGTGGTTGCCCATAGCCAATGGTAAGTCTTCTGTCCCTGGTCTCCACGCGGGATGTGTATAGCTCTGGACAACGCCAAACCAAGCATACCCATCTTTACTGCCTTCCGTAACTGTGAACGATCGATTCGAGTATCACTCTTTTCGCCACTCTTTTGAGCCCTTGGCCGGCGTTCGGCTCATCCCACGAGTAGCAAGAGGCTAGCCAGCGGCTCACGTCGGACTTGCCCATGTCTCGCGATTCGCCTCTCCAACTGCCGGAAGCGCCGTGCATTTCTAGGAACGACGACGAGCGCTATGAGGAACTTGATGCTAACATTCGTAACTTTGCTCCAGTCGCCCGCATCATGAAGAACGCTCTGCCTGAAAATGCCAAAATCGCAAAAGAGGCCAAAGAATGCATGCAAGAGTGTGTCAGCGAGTTCATCTCCTTCATCACCAGCGAAGGTAAGTCCTGCTTCTCTACCAGTGGCATGTAAAACAGACGACTGACCGGTTACCCAGCTTCGGAGAAGTGTCACCAGGAGAAACGCAAGACAGTTAATGGCGAGGACATTTTGTTTGCCATGACATCGCTCGGCTTCGAGAATTATGCCGAGGCGCTCAAAATCTATCTCTCGAAATATCGCGAAGTAAGTTTCAACGTGTGTTCTCGCCGATTGGCGACGTGCTAATCGATAAAAGCAACAATCTCAGACGAACAGAGGCGAGGGTGGACAGGGTGCACGCCCTAACAGCGCCTATGGCGGCCAGCCTCCCACAGGTGCTGGCAGCTTCCAGGCTGAGGCTTCCGGTAACATTTTGGGCGCGCAACCCGGAGAAGGCGGTGCGGATGCCTCAAACTACATGTATCCTCCACAGTCCGGCCACAATGGTGCTGGAGCTGGCGAGGGCTACTAAGCTGTCTCTGTGTGGGGGTTTGTCAACGCTTGTGGACCATGAAGTCGGGTAAAATCAGTCCGTGACATGTGTCTGGCTGTGTACAAGTGAAAGGGGCAGCGAATGCTATCATGAGATATGTGCAACAGGCGTGTTTGGAAGATAGAAGCCATTCAGTGTGATATGGCGATGTCAACAATTAGGGGCAGGGAGTCGCTCGGTTGTGACAGGCGTGGGGACGGATTTGACACACGTACATATGCTGGCTGGAGTTCCTAATCATCAGACATGTCTAAACAGGTTCAGATGGCCCAGGTCGGGCATCACTCCCTCAGTCAAAACCTAGGCGCCTCGATTCGACGGCATCTGATCACCTGCCAACGATATACCTTGCTCGGGCTATTCAGGGATGATTTTATCAGAGGCTGAGCAAATCACCAGTTTCGCACCTTGATATGGTAATCCCGCCCATCCAGCTAATCGACATGCATTAATGGCAAAATCCGTGGTAACCCCAATTTGTACTGATTTTTCAACTTGCTGGGGGGACGAGGGGGGCTTGGCTCTATTGGAGATTGCGACGGCAATGACTGCATGGGAAGAAGACGGCATATTTGGTTCAAACGAGTCCTGACCTGACACCGGCGGATAGAATGTGAATGTCAGGGACAATGTAATCATCAAACTCTTATCGATAAGTACGGCAACGAAAGGTGGGTCCAAACAGGAGCCGCCTTGACATCGAGTGGCCCGTGCCATGGTTTCGTCAGACCCTCGCCTTTCCTTCCCTCCTCCTTCCCCACCTGCAAGACGGGGGGCGTCCGAAGAAAACCGAAAAAATCCCCAGACTTTCTTTCGGCGCCTTGCTCAAAGTGCACGAGAGGTCGTTCATTTGCCTTGCGCCAACCACACATTACCCTAATTGTACCACCCCGAATGAGCGACTCTCAGACTACCACTTTTTTTATGGAAGATATCGGCCGTTTGCCCTCGATCCCTCGCTCCTCTGTCCAACCCGAGGGTCTGCACCCATCAGCCTAGCGTCTATCATGCGACCTTTCACCTCCATCGTGAGGCAACGTGCCGGCGCTCCCTCCACATTAGCGACCCCTACGAAGGGTATCCTTCGACCACCCTCTATTCTCGGGCGCCGAAAGAGCGAACACGCTGGTCTCGATTCCGACCTGGCCGACCCACCATCGAGTCCCACGAAACGACGCAAGGTATTCATCGACGAGCTGAATAACAAGGTGATTGAGTTCGGTGATAGATCTCTCGACGAAGTCAACATGGAGGTCCGAAAAGCTTTGGAAGAACATCTCATGGGCGAGGATAGCGACTATGACAACCTGAAGGAGATTTTCGCCAACGACAAGCGCAAGTCGCCGTCCGACTTGGGGAGTGACAGCGTCGTGAAGCCGCAAGAGCTCAAGCTATACATCTTAGCTTTGACGAATTGTGTGCCACTTCTCAAGAACCGAGCTTGTAACGGACTCGTGCGCAATTTTCTCCAAGTGTCATGGCTCGGTCGTGATGAGAACTTTTATAAGGTCTACCTCCAGCTCATGGCGGCATTGGTCAGCGCTCAGGGCTCCTACCTATCGATTGTTCTGTCCACCATGATGGAAAAGTTCTCACACTCCAGTTCAGCCGACTGGAGCATACCCGAGTACCCTTCAGTAACAAGAGAAGCCATGCGCGAGAGATTGCACGGCGCCTTGCGGTATCTTCTCAAGATGTTCCCGGCTGCAACACCAGTTCTACGAACACTGATCAGTGCCAAATTCCCTTTTGCCGACGATCCTCAACGAGCCCACGTCGCATACGTTAAGAATCTTCTGGCGCTCAAGGAATACGTAACGGAACTCGATTTGGATATCGTTGATCTTATCCTGCAACGGCTGGTGGCTATCGATGTTCAGATGCAAGTCGACCTTGAAGATTTAGACGACGAACTGACGGCGTCAGTCGCATACGCTCTGGGCAAGTCGTCAAATCCTGGGTCTTGGGAGGGTGATGAGATGGACCCGGGCGAAGACAAGGACGACGATGACGACGACGACGAGTCTGTCGATAGTGACGATTCAGATGTTGATGATCAAGAGGCCAAGGCACGAACCGTCAAGAGCAATGTTGAGAAACTGGATGCCATCCTCGACACCCTCTTTGAGTATTACACCCCGCACTTTGCCGACCCTGACTCAGACGACGCTTATTACGAATATGCTCTACTGGTCCAGTCATTCGGCAAGTTTGTGTTGCCGACGTACAAGTCGAGACATACGCAATTTTTGCTCTTCCACTTTGGGCAGCTCTCAGAAAGACTACGCGACACATTCGTGGGATCCTTGATGCACATCTTCACCGAACAGAACCGACCAGCTTTCGTACGACAGGCCGCAGCCACATATCTAGCTGGTTTTGTGGCAAGGGGAGCTCACGTACCAGGAGACTTGGTTCGGACCATCTTCAATCTCTTACTGGCACGAATGAAGTCGTACAGGCTGAGGCACGATGCACAGTCACGAGGGCCCGATATGAAGCGACATCAAATATACTACTCGATGGCACAGGCCATATTGTACGTATACTGCTTCCGTTGGAAGGATCTGGTCGTTTCAGTACCAGAACACGTCGATCCGGAAGATGCATCGTCGTATCTGGGCCACGAACTTGAGTGGATCCACGGCCTCAAGGAAGAGCTTGCGAGCCACGTATACTGCAGGATGAACCCTCTCAAGATCTGCTCGCCTGCTATAGTGGACGAGTTTGCCACCCTCGCACACAAGCTGGGACTGATGTACATATTCCCCCGTCTCGCGGAGAACCAACGCCTCCGGCTCTCGCAGTTTGTTTCTGATACGTACGGCAACGGAGGTGCGTTGCGAGACACGGGCGGTGCGCAAGGGGAAGAGGCCCACCAACTGGATCCATACTTCCCTTTCGATCCCTACCAACTGCCCGTCAGTAAACGTTGGGTCCATGGCGATTACGTGCAGTACGAGGCAGTGCCGGGGCTCAACATGACGGCGGAGAACGACAGCAGCGATGAAGACGACGAGGATGACGAGCCGGATACGGATGTTGACGAAGATACGGCGACAGCCAGTGAAAACGAAGACGAGGACTGAGCGGTGACTTCAGTCAAGGGTTAGCGAATAAAATGAGGACGGGCGAGACAATTGCACCAGCACGGGCAGGCAGGCGTTGGGTGGACCCGTACACCAAACACAGGTCACTCGTTGTTCATGGCGTGGGCGACTGACAGACCCCCTTCCCAGCAAGGCGTTTCGGGGTTTGATGACTTGAGGCTATAGATGATGGAGCGTTGATTTGCAGCATATTCGGTCAAGATGGCGGCTTGTTTACTTGGTTGTTTAGGTTGGCATGTGGTCATTAGCGTACATTTGTCCGAGAAAGGTCTTTCATCACGATGAGTGCCGCCTTGGGACGGTGAAGTAACCGAGACTGTCGTGGCGCGAGAACAATGCGGCAAATAAGCCAGGTGCGTCTGCGTCTGCGACACGGGCTATGCCGACAATGTGTTGATTTGTTTTGGTGTGTTGTAGAAAAGGAATGTTGTGTTGGAATGGTAGTGAAGAAGGGCCTCATCGTAATGAGCCCGTCGCGCGCGCCGTGACTCTCATGGTGTATTCCTTGGCATGGAGCCCAACCGAGGTTTGTGTGTTTTTGAACCTTCTGCGCGCTTGCAAGACCAAGCGAATCTGAAGCTATCTGGAGATTAAGCGACGGGGAGAAGCGAGATGGTCTTGTCACTGCAGGCGGCGGTCGTCGTCGTCTGTTTATGCGCTGTTAAGGCGATCCATCCGGGATGTCACAATCCCCTTTCTTATGGACACCTCTTTGCAGTGTCAATAGCGGGGCGCAAGCGCGCAGAGTGATTGGGGAATCTCGGGGCTTGGCGAGCACAGACGGCAGCATGATTGGATAATGGATGTTGGCGCAGCTACAGAAACGCGAACGCGAGGTCCAATGACGGGGCCGTGCACCGATCTCCACTGGGAAAATACGCCCATTCAGGTCCAGTTTGTTTCAACTGTCGGGGGGAAAAGCCAGGGGCCACACTCGTCGGGATCGCAAGTGGAAAGATAGGGAAGATGGGGAGGAAGGGAAAGGGGATTCGAAAGGAACGCCGGCACTTCGAGCGCATGGCGGGACGCGCAGGAGTTGCTCCACGACGGAAGATGAGGTGGAGGGGGGGGGGGAGTATGAGCAATTGTGGTTTCGTGGTTCGCGGTTCGCCATTTCAAGATTGAAGTTGGTTGCTAGCGCACCGTTGACAAGGGGGTAGAAGGGGGGGATGGACCAACCGCGTCGCTGGCGTACCTGCAGCAGCGGGCAGGCGGAGCGAGCAGGTGCAGGTGGGGTGGAGATGGCTCAGTGGCCGCAGCCTCCAAGACGCTGGGAAAGCAGCGCAATCTCCCTCGTCGGTGAGTCGATGGTTCTCCTGGCCCAGCATGGTAAGAGCCTATGGCGATTACAATGGCACGGGCCAGCCCCCCCTCAAGGTCATGATCAGGGATGTGACATGGCAGCTCGGGGGGTGAAGGGGGAGCCTTGCTCGCCCGTCTGCCTCCTGCCTGGCTGGATTCGGGGCGCAAGGGACGATTAGCCCGTCTTTCCCTCGTCGCGATCCATGTTTTCTCACCTGATCCCTCCGCCCGCCTCTACCCTGCTTTCTTCTCTTTTACTCCTTTTTTCAACGAAGCCCTCAATCGTTTCCGTTCGTTGCGCCCCATCTGCCCTCCGTCGCTTCCAACTCGAGAGTTTGCTCTCCATTACATTCTTTTGAAACCAGGGCCGGCGCACATTCACTCGTTATTCCATCGAATCAAGCAGCAAACTTAAACGGCACTCATCAACGCCCTGACAACTCACATACACAACTACGTACCTAGCCAGGCGAGACTCCAAACGACAGACGACCGCCAAGCATCATGAAGTCCATCGTGCATCTCACCTTCGCGGCCACGCTTGCCGCCACTGTCGCTGCTCAGCCTCAGCATCATCACCAGCATCAGCAGCTTCACAAGAAGCACATCGCGTCGCCCGTCGAGAAGCGTGAGCCTGATGCCGTCACCGTCTACGAGGTGGGCCCGACAGTGACCCTGTACGAGCTCGCCGGAGAGCACGTTGCGGCCGAAAAGGCCAAGGAGGGCATCGAGGACGGTCTCTACGTCGTCGTCGGCGAGAGCAAGCCCGAGTACACCCCGCCGCCTCCTCCTCCTCCTCCTCCCCCGTCCACCTCCGAGGTTCCCACCCCGACGCCTGTAATGGCGGCTCAGTTTTTCGAGTCCAAGGAGCTGTCCACCTCGACGCCACTGCCCGAGACGACCCCCGAGCCCACGCCTACCACGAGCTCGGTCGCCCCTCCTCCCACCACCACCGCCGTCAAGGTCGACAAGGGCAGCAGCAGCTCGGGCGGCCAGGGCATCAACTCCAAGTTCGACAGCGGCAAGGTCAAGTGCTCCCACTTCCCCTCTGACTACGGCGCGCTCGCCGTCGATTACCTAGGCACCGATGGCTGGATCGGCGTCCAAAAGGTGCCCAAGTACTCGGTCGGCGATGCCTCCATCAGCTACATCGAGACGGCCGTCAACGAGGGCTGCACTCCTGGCTCCTTCTGCTCGTACGCCTGCCCCGTTGGGTACCAGAAGACCCAGTGGCCCTCGGCTCAGGGCGACACGCTTCAGTCTATTGGCGGCCTCTACTGCAACGCAGACGGCTACCTTGAGCTCAGCCGCCCGGAGTACGACACTCTTTGCGAAAAGGGTGCTGGCGGTGTCTGGATCCAGAACGATCTTGACGAGACCTCGTGCGTCTGCCGCACCGACTACCCCGGCACCGAGTCCATGGTCATCCCGACCATTCCCCAGCCCGGTGAGAAGGTTGCCCTGACCAACCCCTCAGCCAACGATTACTACGTCTGGAACAACCTGCCCACCACTGCCCAGTACTACGTCAACAAGAAGGGCCTGCCTGTTGAGGACGCCTGCACCTGGAACAGCCCCGTCGATCCCAAGGGTGCCGGCAACTGGGCCCCCATCAACATTGGTACCGGCAAGGCCGCCGACGGCAACACGTACATCTCCATCTTCCCTAACCTGCCTACCAGCACGGCTCAGCTTGACTTCAACATTGAGATTATTGGTGACGTCAACACAAAGTGCGCTCTCATCGACGGCCAGTACACTGGTGGCGGTTCCACCGGCTGCACCGTAAGTGACCACGTCTTGGTTTCGTGTAGGATATATCAAGCTAACCATGGACAGACAACCCTGGCTGGCACCAAGGGCGAGGCCATCATCCGCTTCTACAAGAACTAAGCGGCGACGATGGCTTCAGCGACTCGGGACCGTATTGCGTGGCCTTACGAGGCGTGAACTTTTGATACCTTTGGACGATACCCTGGACTCCGGATCGCACGGGATTGGCACCAGGACGAACTTGACTGGCAACATCCCAATCGTTTGGTCTCGCGCATTTTGCTTCACCCTATTCGGATCTGGCTGTGCATATGTTTCGTGAATTGGAAATGTTAAGTTGGAGAGACGACGGGTTGACGTAGCGGAAGCATCGGATCGGAGACAGAGATAACAGACCAAGGTTATTCGGGAAGGAAAAACAACGACAAGGACGTTTCCGGATAGTCAACCGTCTGTTGCTAGACCATTTCCTTTGTTTATTCTGCTTTTGTTACCTCGATCTTTGTGCATTTGGCTTGCGCGCTTGCGTTGCTTTGCTCTGTAGCTGGCCGCGACAGGGTGCATTGGTGGAGACCGACTACCTTGTGGCGCTTATGTGCTATGTATGGCATCGGATCAGATGATGCTTTGTCCGTGTATGTATTTTACTGCTTTGGCCGACCTATATAATTCCGATGTGCAATGCGATGACGTTCAATTTGCCTTATCTTGGTGGCTGACGCTGCTCACGAGAAGGGGGGGGGGAGTGGCCAGTGCGGCATTGGCGGTACCTCGAAAGATAAGCAGGTCCCGTGCATGACTTTCGTAGCAGTGACGCCATCACCGTTGGCTGTATCTTTGTCTACCTCTTTCCTTTCCACTTTTGTTTTTCCCTCTTGTCTACAATCCGTGTGTTTGGAATCGGTGATTGGGGCTCAAAGGGGTCTGCTGCACAAGTCTGAGGGCCAATCGCTGTGATTGAAGCAGAACACTGGGTTGATCGTCGATTCGGCATACCACTACTACATCGACAAACGTCAGATCCCCCGATTCCTTATCTTTCACCATCCTCGCCTGTACTCGGTTTTCGACACGACTGTGCGACTTCCTTCAATATGTCGCTCCATCGTGTGGGATCTCTCGAAACCTTTCAGATTTTGCCCCATGCCCCAGGTTCACGACGCGGCAGTGATGCCTCCAGTATACGTGCCAGGAAGCTAAGTTTCAATCCGCTGCCAGACGAATGGGATCCTCCGGCCTCCAAGTCCGATGTCGTACAAGCTGTTTCTGGATTTGAGGTGCCGCAATGGAAACGGATCCGTAAGTGTCGCCGGGCTTCTTTGCTTTCCCTTTTGCTGATCTCCGACGTCGTCATGTAGTACAGATTGCTATAACTGTTCTCTACTGCCTCTTCGCAGCCGGCGTTGTCTTTGGATATGCCGCACTGAAACCGGTGCTTAAAGCAGAGGGTGCCTACCGAGATGTTTGCTACGGCGATGAGTCTGGTCCGACGCACGGAGACACTTGTGTCGAAATACATCTGAACCTCATGTTCACTGTTGCTGCCGTTGCTACTAATGTAGCGGCGCTGCCTGTTGGCGCCATTCTTGACCACTACGGTCCGCGTGTGTGCGGTATTGCTGGTAGCCTCTTCCTCGCATCTGGTTCTCTACTCATGGCCTATGCCGACGAGGTCTCATTTGACGGATTTTTGTTGGGCTATCTGCTCCTCGCACTTGGAGGGCCCTTTACCTTCATCTCATCCTTCCAGCTCTCCAACGCATTTCCTCGCCACTCTGGCCTTATCCTCGCCCTGCTGACGGGCGCTTTCGACTCATCCAGCGCCCTGTTCCTCGCCTACCGCCTCATTTTCCAGGCTACCGATGGCTCCTTTGGCTACCGCCAATTCTTCCTCGCCTACCTTGTCGTACCCGCTTTCATACTGGTCGTACAAATCACCTTGATGCCCAAACAGTCTTATAAGACAATGGGTGATCTTGCCGAGCAGGCAGACCAGATGGAAGCTGCCATTGAAAGGGATGACACTTTGGATGACCAGATCGACGAGAACACTGCTCTCCTCCGCGAGGAACAGCGCTCTCACCGCCAAACCGTTCTGGATGACACTCAGGAGTTGATTGGTGCCCAGGGCGCGGATGAACAGGCCCGGCGCGAGGAGAAGAAGAATTCCATATCTGGCGTCTGGGGCGTCATGCACGCCAACACAGCTCTGCAACAGATTGCATCGCCCTGGTTCGTCCTCATCTGTCTCTTCACTGTCATTCAGATGACGCGCATCAACTACTTTGTCGCCACGATCCGTGCTCAGTACGAAGCCATCTTCGGCAATGTCGCACAAGCCATTGAAGTGAACAACTTCTTTGATGTCGCCTTGCCCGTTGGCGGTATCTTCTCGATCCCCTTCATCGGCCTATTCCTCGATCATACCAGTACCTTCATCGTCCTCACCGTCCTCGTCACCATTGCAACTGCCATTGGCGTCCTGGGCATCCTACCTTACACGTGGGCTGCCTACACCGGTATCTGCCTCTTTGTACTGTACCGCCCATTTTACTACACGGCCGTATCCGACTACAGTGCCAAGGTCTTTGGCTTCCGAACCTTCGGCACCGTCTATGGCACCATCATCTGCCTCTCTGGTTTGCTGAATTTCTCCCAGTCGGGTCTGGACTATCTGTTTCACCAGACGTTCAAGGGGGATCCGGTGCCCGTCAACGTCATGCTGTTGTCTGCTGGCTTTGCAGTCGGTATCTTGCTGGTTGGATTTGTGGGTGTCCGGACTAGAGGGTTGCGGCGCAAGGTACTGGAGACTGAGGCCGAAAATGCGGTACTGGGGCACTAGAAGTCGCCACGCAAGCCTCGCTCTTTGCGTCTAGTCGAGTCACCCTGGAAGGGGACGCGGAAAGATCCTGGGAATTTTCATCATCAGTCTGAGTCTCTCATCAACACAGACCAGCCATGCGGGTTCTACAGGCTGCCTGGTTGATTAGTGGCATGCGAGGATGGCGGCACGCGCAACCGACAAATCGCATCAAAACCAATGCGCGCACTGCTTTAGAAGCAGTAGCTGACATACAACGTTACTGGGCCTGCTCTCAAAACTCAAGTGACCGTCAAGCAAGCGTCAGTGGATTCTTGTTCTGATCTCTGTGAAGCGATGTTGCTTCGACGAGACGAGGGGGAAATGGTCATTGTTGAGAGGAAGTCATAGTGTATTCGAAATCATTGGTCTTCAAACTCCGTATCTGGCTCGTCAAAGTACACCGTATCATCCTGCAAAACACCCCTCAAAGCTCCATGGGAATACCGATCGCTTCCTCCCGCAGCTTCCGGAGCCCGTCGTCCCTCGCCTCTCTCTCCTCGCGTAGCTGAGCCTCAACGTCGTCCCGGATACCACCAAGATCAGGCGGGATGACCTGCGACTGGACGCTCGGCGCAGCCTCGACGAAGCGCAGCTGCTCGTTGACGTGCTGCACAATCTCATGCAGGCGCTTCTGCGGGTTCTTGTTGACACGGGGTTCGCCTAGAATCTGCTCGAGCGTCGGGAAGAGCTCCTCGTAGCGGAACTGGTCGCGCCACGGCGTGTGGCTTGGAATGATGGGCGCAATGCGGTCCTGGATGCCGGCGGCGATGCTCGTCTCGTAGGCCCAGGCGCGGGCCACGTTTCGCGGCGTGTAGCCGCCGCCGCCGAAGAGGATCATGGGAAGGCCAAACTTTTTGCAGAATTCAACGCAGCTACCGTGCCCTTGCACCTGGAGGTTGAACTTGCCGAGACGGTCGCCGGCGAGCGAGTCGGCGCCGCACTGCAGGGCGATGGCGCTGGGGCGGAACTTTTCGATACACTTGCCGATGACGTTCTCGAAGAGCCATCCGTACTGCTCGTCCGTGATGCCATCGTTCAGCGGGACGTTGACCGAGTGGTGCGCGCCCGGATTGTGCTCGTTCTTGGGGCCATTGTCGTCGAGGGCGCCAGTGCCGGGGAAGAACGTGTCGGGCGCGTATTTGTGAAAGGAGACGGTCATGACCCTGTCGGTGGAGAAGAATGCTTCTTCGACGCCATCGCCGTGATGTACGTCAATGTCGATGTAGAGCACGCGGGGATAACATCGGAGGAGCTGGAGGATGGCGACAACGATGTCGTTGATGTAACAGAAACCGGAGGCCTCGGACTTCTTGGCGTGGTGTAGCCCACCGCCCCAGGCTATTGCAATGTCAGATTGCTTCGAGCAGATCTTGCGTGCCGCGTCCAGGGAACATCCGCCCGACATGGAGCAGTAGTCGTAGAGGCCCTCGAACAAGGGACAGTCGGAGCCACCAAGGTTGAACATGAGCTCCGGCGTGGGGTTCTCAATATCTCGGGGCTGCGCTTCAGGCATGACTGTTCCCAGAAAGTCGAGATAGTCCTTTGAATGAAAGCTGTTGAGCTCCTCAAAGGTTGCAGCTCTCGATGTATAGTTGTCCATCGCAAAATTCATGCCGTAGGAGAAGACCAGACTTTTCGACAAGGTCAGACGCCAGGGCTTCATCGGATGGGTCTGGCCGAAGTGATGCTTCTCCATCTCCGGATTGACGTGAAAGGAGACATTATACCCCTTTGGCCTCGTGACGCCCATTTCCTGTGCATACCGCTTGCATTTGCCAAAGTATTTGGCATTGTCCTCATCGCTGGGCCGTCCAAGGGGGACGCTGTATTCCTCGACGATAGGATCCGTTCCTATTGTATGTGGGAGGTAATTTGGTTTCGAGCGAAACCTGTAAGGCGGTGTGACATTGGACATGATGGCAGCAAGGCGAGCGGCGCCCGTCACCCAAACTGTCGAGACTCACGTGTGGGCGAGCTGAGGTTAGATGATGAGACAAGGTTAAGATGTGGAACGTGCAGGAGGACGCGAGGACCTGAAGTCGTGATATGTAAGAGGGAGGTTCAAGACGTCACCGCCAGCACAATGAGAAGTACGTTGATCAACTGGCTATACAGAGGCACATCATCTGCCGAGCTGAGTCGCAAAGTATCGTGACAACGTTGTGGTGTTGAAGATGTCGAAGACAAATCACCTACAGAGATCCACGCAGGTACTTAGCTCGTGCGCTTAGGTACTTGGGTCCACTGGGTACATGGTACATCTTGGTGGCTTCAAGTACCTTGATCTTGCTGACTGTCGGTATGGAAGAGGGCCCTGCAAAATCGGCATGCCTTCCTAGTGGGTCGGGCAACATCAAATGTAAGTCACTCTGAGAGCTCGTTACCCCTTAGCGGCGCGAGTCTCAAGGTATGAGAATGTACCAGTCGATTCAGGATACTTATTTTGCAAGTCACTCGATGAATCCGTGCGACCAACCATCTTGCTGTTCTTGAGGGGCAAACTAATTAGGGAGGCTGAGATTTCCCTTGGCACCTTTCGTCCTCGACCTCCAGTCTTTCCATCCTCACACGCCAGGTCCTTGCGACTACGACACATCTTCGCTTTCCCAACGCTCGTACCAAGAGAACCGTTCTACGAGAGCAAGCGCATCATAACACGTCGACTCTATTCCCAGCCTCCATATTTTCTTACCATCACCACCCTTCCCCCCCTTTCCCACAGGTGAGCCAAGTCACAATTGTCACTTGCCATTTGCATAGGACGCTGGCCTCCCACCTCCACATCTGCACACTCCATCTTGCCTCTCGTGCGCCATCCCTGATATCGTTCGCGTACCCCATCACAATTCCCATCCTTCCCATTACAGCCTCTTCTGTCGCCTCTCCTTGCCGCGTCTTCCAACCACCATCACTACCACTGCCGCACCTATCCAGTCTGCTTCTTCTGCATCCCGTCCACGTCGCTCTCCCTGGCCCAGCGAGGATTCCCCGCGCCCATCTGCTGCCACCCATCGAGCCTGCTTCTCGCGTCGCATCTGCTTCCACTGAACATCGGGGCACAGCCCCTCCGTTAACCCGATGCCTAGAGACGATCTGTCGATCGACTGGGTCAGGAAGATGCCGGCGGCCGAGGCCCTCGACCCAGCTATCGTCCTCGATGACTGGATCAACCGCGTCCAGAACCTCCCCGAGGAGATCCGCTTTATGCAAGACGAGATTGCCGACAAGGACAGGCAATACCAGGAATGTGTCAAGCTTGTTGATGACCGTGACGGCAAGATACAAAAATGGATCAAGGCTCAAGGCAGCCATGAGGTCAACCCGAAGGAAGACGGCCTGAGATCGCAAATTCGCGATAACTTTGCGCGCGCAGACAGGCTGGCAACCGAAAAGATCAACTTGACGCAGCGACTACAGGCCAACATGGACAAACATCTACGAAACCTTGACCAGCACATCAAGCTACTCTACGATCGCGCCGAGCCTGGTTTCAACGACCCCGACGAATGCCCCTCTCTTCTCAGGCCGAGTGCTGCAAACCACTCTGCGCCGTCCGCGCGTGCCGTCAACCCCAGCAGCCACCCCTCCGCGACCGCTGCTGTGAATGCTACGCCTCTTGGGCCTTTGGTCAACTCCGCCACGCCGACCGCCGCACGCGCGACCAACCCTCAAGTCCGAACCGCCCAGGCACAACAACATGCGGCTTCCGCCCCGGCAACGCCGGCTGCGAGTATGATTCTCAATCGACAGGCGCGCGAGACCTCCGCTGGCCCGGGAAGTGGGGCACCGAAGCGTGGACCTCGAGCCAACTCTGGACTGGGCAATCTACCTTCAGCGTCCAGCGCACTCGCCAGACACTCGTCCCTAGGCCCCGGGACTCCGAAGGGCTCTGCGGGACCAGGTACGGCCGCTGCCACTGTTCGTGCCGGCAGCGCTGGTCCCCGGTCCGCCTCTCAAAAAGCGCTGAGCGTGTCAGGCCTAGGCCGCAAGGGCACTCCGAACGGAGTCAATCGCAAAAAGGCACCGAAGTCGTCGCTATCACGGGTGAAAAAGTCTGGCAACAGAAACTCGCCTGCGTCTACAGCAGACAGTGAGTTGTCGGAAGCGGAGAGTGCAAGCATGGACGATGGCGATGAGCGGCGACTGGACCGAGCCAGCGGCACACCCAACCGAGAAGGCAAAGATGGAGACGGCGACGAGAGCATGGGCGAGGCGGACGACGACGATGCTGGAGATGACAAGAAATACTGCACATGCCAGAATGTTAGTTTCGGCGACATGGTGGCTTGCGATAACGACGACTGTCCCTATGAGTGGTTCCATTGGTCCTGCGTTGGTCTCAAGAGCGAACCCAACGGGACCTGGTATTGTCCAGTTTGCACGGAGAAGATGGGCAAGAAGAAGTGATTACACGGCACAGGATCAACCAACCATACGGGGAATGGCGTTTTTGACTTGATAAATGATACCCAAGGTAGCAGTCGGTGTACAAGGTCGATGGATGCTTTTTAAAAAACCAATACCGTAACTTGAATCGTACTATGCAAAAATCAGTGACCTCACAAAGTGGCGTCCTTGAAATAGTGATATATGCGCTACGCACGCCAGCTTAGTGTCTCAATTCTATCAGCACATCGGGACGGCATATGGTAAGCATAGCATGGATGATCACAATTCGAGGTTTGCTGTGACATTGCGGCCGTTATAAAAACCACAACGCACCGACCCAAAAGAGTCAAATGCAATGGCACATGGGGGAGATGGCGAGACGTCATTCGACCAAAAAAAAGCTCTCCCATATGACAGCACCAATTCTAGACCCAGTGAACCGCCACTGGTGATAAGACAGCCGAAGCAGCCAATCTGGACCGTAGCACCTCAGGCCCGTGTTGGAACGGGTCAGCAAATTGCGCGAGGGATGAGGCGTGGCCATAGCTTTCGCCCGGATCTCTTCTTGTCACTAGCTTCCAGACGACATGGGAAGGGGGGGGGGGGATATGGTCTTGGTGGTAGGGAAAATCACGAAAAGGCCGCCTCTCGTTTCGTTTCTCGTTTCTCGTGTTGTAGGGGGGGCCATTTGAGCGGAAGCGAGAGTGTGACGAGATAAATTCGGAAAATTTAGGGTGGGCTGTTGCAGTCAAGGCCGGAACGGTATCCTTCCTGAGCTGGCGGGATAGACCATCGGATTTGAGCGATGGACAAAAGGCTGATGGAGGGCAGCGGGGGGCAATGGAGGGGGAATTTCTCGCTCTTGTTGGGCGGTTGGGCGGCAAATGGGTGGGAAGGTGGGGGGTAGAGTACCTGTAGGACATGGGAAGGGGGGCGAGAGCTACAGCCTGGCAGCGCCACCACATGTTTATGGCACCTGTTGAATGCTCAGCGAGGACGCCAGTCTTGCATGGAGGAGAGGCATTATTATGGTGATTTTTTTCTCTCTCTCGTTGTTTCTCCTTAGAACCCCGTAGCCGCGCAGCAGGTGGGACCGCGGAATCTCGATGGAGGCGGGGAGAGGGCCCAGAGCAGCGTGGATGTAGGAAATTGGACAATGGCAAGGCAGTTCCAGTTCCCACAGTGATAGAGGATCTGTCTGATCCATGCTGCCAGGTTGAATAGTTGCTTGACCAGGGAAGTCGGTGCCTCCTGAGCTTCCCTGCTGCTAGGTTGTCCAGCTTGTGATAAACCATAAAACTACCCGGCCTACCCCCCTATGCTGTTGAAGCCGTTCCCCCTTTCCCATTTTCTTCCTGATTCACACATCAATCGTTCCCACGTACGTTTGCACAGCTCGCAAACCACCAGTCAAGCCAAGGTAAGCCCATGATCAGACCCATCTTTCCTGTGGAGGGCTCCGCCGATCACGCTCTGAAGACAATCTGTAATGCGGACTGCCTTACCTGCCTGCCAATGGGCCGCGGAGCAAGTTCCTACGAACTGTGAGCGGCGGACAGGCTCGGGGGGCAAGCGTCAGGATGCAGATGGCAGGAGCATGTTGCCCGTACTTGTTGTTCCTCCCAAGCTTACCACGTCCAATTACGTCAGGCACAGGCAGCCCAGCAACAACTAAGGACTCGAGCTTCTGCGAACCCCGCCATCCCTCCTACTTCTCCCCCAATTCCTCTCAACCTCAACGAGACTTCGTATTTCTTCTGGCCCCGCCACTTTGCTCGCCAGGCTCTTCGTCCATCACAGCTCCCCAGACGGTTCGTTCCAACGATACATACGACACTTTCTTGACAAAATGGCTTCCGCAATTAAGAGCGCGCTGCCTTCTCACCTGTCACCCCTTGCTGGTGCTGGCAATGGCGGCAAGGATTCCGGCAACGAGCAGGAGTTCACCTCGCGCCACCACGGCAAGACGAGGTCGCATATGGTGAGTAGCTGCCTCTTCCCGTACTCTCCAAGTTTCCCGATCTCTCGAACGACGTCTGGCTTTGGGCAATGCACACTTCAATCGCCCCGAGGCACCCTTTCCCCTCTTCGACGAGTTATCGTTGGCTTGGAAGATTGCGTGCGCGTACGATTGTGCGTTGTCTCGTGGCCAGTCGCGTGGCCAGCCGCAAAAAGCTCATCAGGGCCCATTCGGCTCTTCTGCATCATGCAGACTGACCGCACTGCTGCGATTCTGTTGCTAACTCGCCCGCCAGGCTTTCGAGAACACTTCGACCAATGTCGCCGCTGCCCAGATGCGCAATGCGCTCACCCAGCTTGCCGAGTCCGTGGAGGACCCTGAGCAGAAGAAGGTCAGTCAGCCAAGCCCGTAGTCACGATGAGCGGCGCGCTAACCAATGTTACACTGTAGCTTTTTGACACGGAGATGGACAACTTCTTTGCCCTCTTCCGTCGCTACCTGAACGACAAGGCCAAGGGCAACGCTGTGTAAGCCCACCCTTCGCATATACCAGTGCCCTGAAATACAGAACTGTTTGCTAATCCATGCCATAGCGACTGGGATCGCATTGCCCCTCCCGCCCAGGGCCAGGTCGTCGACTACGAAGATCTCGCCAACACGGAGGCCGTCCAGTTCCTCGACAAGCTGGCCGTCCTCAAGCTCAATGGTGGTCTCGGTACCTCGATGGGCTGCGTTGGCCCCAAGTCGGTCATTGAGGTTCGTGACGGCATGTCCTTCCTCGACCTTTCCGTCCGTCAGATCGAGTACCTGAACCGCACGTACAACGTCAACGTGCCCTTTATTCTGATGAACTCGTTCAACACCAACGATGATACCGCCGCTATTATCAAGAAGTACGAAGGTCACAACGTTGACATCCTCACCTTCAACCAGTCCCGTTACCCCCGTATCTTGAAGGACTCCCTCCTGCCCGTCCCCAAGAAGTTCGAGTCTTCCATCTCCGAATGGTACCCTCCGGGCCACGGTGACGTTTTCGAGTCCCTCTACAACTCTGGCATCCTCGACCAGCTCATTGAGCGCGGTATCGAGATTGTCTTCCTCTCCAACGTCGACAACTTGGGCGCCGTCGTCGACCTCCGCATCCTGCAGCACATGGTTCAGACCGAGTCTGAGTACATCATGGAGCTGACCAACAAGACCAAGGCTGACGTCAAGGGTGGTACCATCATCGACTACGAGGGCCAGGCTCGTCTCCTCGAAATCGCCCAGGTCCCTAAGGAGCACGTCAACGAGTTCAAGTCGATCAAGAAGTTCAAGTACTTCAACACGAACAACATTTGGCTGAACCTCAAGGCCATTAAGCGTGTTGTCGAGAACGATGAGCTTGAGATGGAGATCATCCCCAACGGAAAGACCATTCCTGGTGACAAGAAGGGCGAGTCGGACATCTCCATCATCCAGCTCGAGACGGCTGTCGGCGCTGCTATTCGTCACTTCAACAACGCGCACGGCGTCAATGTGCCCCGCAGGCGCTTCCTGCCCGTCAAGACGTGCTCTGACCTGATGCTCGTTAAGTCTGATCTCTACACCGTCAAGCACGGCCAGCTCCAAATGAGCTCGTCCCGTTTTGGCGACGCTCCCCTCATCAAGCTGGGCAGCGACTTCAAGAAGGTCTCTGACTTCCAGAAGCACATTCCTTCAATCCCCAAGATCATCGAGCTCGACCACCTGACCATCACTGGTGGTGTGAACCTCGGTCGTGGAGTGACTCTGAAGGGCACCGTCATTATTGTGGCGACCGAGGGCAGCACCATTGACATCCCCCCCGGATCTATCCTCGAGAACGTGGTTGTCCAGGGAAGCTTGCGTCTGCTGGAGCACTAAAATGTTTGTTTTCACGTTTGAGTTTGCTTTTCGAACGGGGACACTTACACAGGTTGGACTTTTGGCTTGGCTTGCTACTCTTGTGGACAGTTGACAGGTTCCCGTGTGGGTTCCCACGTGCATCTGTTTGTGGAGAGCTTGGTCACCATGATGCAGACATTACTTGGCATTTAATAGGCAAAACGCAGCGTCATTTGAAACTTCACATGTGGTCCGATTGCAATTAATGACAAGTTGACGTTTCTTTGCATGTCGTATAATTACCAGCCTGGCCGTTCGCTCATCGGGGGCTGCCAAGCATCGTGACGAAGAGTAGGGGAGCCGAGACGTGTTCGGCTTCTGCTCCGCTGTTGCACGTGGTCAGCCGGATCGGGTGAGACCGATAAGACCCGCGCTTTCACCCACATAACCTCCTTTTCTGAACCCGGTCGCAGCACGCACCCGGTCGGGCCAGCCTTGACAAGGAATGCGACGACCAAATTCGGCATTTGATTGCCTCAATTTAACATGTCAAAATGGGCAGTTGATGCGCATCGTTTAACATTCTTCTTGAATCCACCTCACTGCAACATCCTACGACTTCGACCTGGTAATCACGTCGCTGGACCAGCCAATCTCATCTAGCACGACATTGATTCATTCTTGCGGAGGTCGCTAGTCGTCCATCTGGCCCCTGTTTGGTTGCATACTGCTGGAGTCGACCGACACCGCATCACCAAGAAGTCTCCGAGGCGACGAGGCAACACTTGAATGTCCACCATGCCCCAGCTACGCTCCATGCCTCAGCTACGCTCCAACGGCCCGATTCTTGTCACCGAATCGTCACTGCCATATTGGCAAGTCAACGTCGAGCCCAGCGCGAGAACAGAAGAATGCCCGGCAGCGCTGCTCAATCTTGATGATAAAGACATTGGCATCCTGAGCACGCCGGATGCCGATTACCAAGCACAATCGTGGGCCGAGGTGCGGCACCTGACGGCGACGAATCACCTCGAGCACTTCCGTCGTGTGCCGTCTGATTTACGCCGGTACAGGGTCTTCATCTACGATCTGAAGCAAGAACACGGCAGCGTGATGAACTTTGTCCTGAAGTACAGGTTGGGCTGGCAGGCACCCATCATACCAAGAGGCAGACCATTTGAGTATGAAGAGGACCTTAAAGTGCTGCACAACGACTGGCCGTATGGAATTGACCCACGGATTAAGCACTTGATTGTGTGGACAAAGTTTGACTTGGAAGAGGATCCAGAGACGGGCGACTTGAGCGATGAGACGAGGAGAAAAGTCGACGGGTACGTGAACGAAGCGTTTCGCGCTCATATGCCAGAGGATACGGTAAGTCGTCCTTCGTTGTGGGCACTGACATGGCACAAAGGACGACATGCTAATGTTTTTGGCGCATAGGTCATTTGGTTCCGCAACTGGAGTAGTCTCAAATCCATCCATGCAGTCGAGCATTTTCACGTCATGCTCTTTGACCCGCCGGAAGGCTTCATCCAGCAAGTCACTGGTGGCGACATCCCGTTGTCTGTTCTTGCGAGACAGCGATAGGAAAGGAAAACGGTGTGGATTAGAGCTCGTTGCAGCTGACCCTGTATTCCACGCGAGAAGCCTGGGCCATGGGGATGGCAGTTGGCTTTTCGAGGCCGATCTTTAGCTGCCAGCACTTTTCTGGAGCGGGGTTACACGCCGATGAAGTTAGGTGCTTGAACAGCTGTGCGGCGAGAGTGGCGGCGAGAGCCTCAAGAGTCTCAAACGAGGACTCTTCCATTGTCTGTAAGATTGTTCAGTGTTGTATCTACCTCAAAAAGGGCCAGGTAGAGGGGAGCTACCTTGACAATGACGGCTTCAATACCCGTGTATACATCAGCCTGGCAGACAAACTGGTCAATGTCGACGTCAGCCACGACGACTTGCTTGGCCGTTCGCTCGTTGTCGTTCACCCCGATCAAGGTAGGGACGCGAAGTCGGTGAAATGACAGACAGCAGGCTTTTGAGGCAGTTTCCTCTGAACCGTCTGGATAGGCGATCGAGTGAGTGAGACTCACGCCCTCACCAAGCAGAGAGGCCTTGGGGAGGGCTAGAGTCAGACTGGCGTACCGCACCTTGGCGGGGTCACGCAATATCCTCCGTGGCGGTTTGGCAGCCGAGCTTTCGCCAGGATAGACGACATCATTACCCAAGTGTTCGACAAGGTCGTTGATGGTGATGCGGCTCGCCCCTTCGCTGTGGGCTCCCAGGCGGCCCAGGCTTGCCAGGACAGCTTTGGCCAGGAGCCCATAGTGGACAGTATCCTCGCTGACAGTGTCGCTGCTGGCGGCAACATGGAAGGGCTTGGCCAGGGAAACCTCGGCGGTGACTAGAGCTGGTTGATCTTTGCCGGTCCGCCCCCAAGCGTCGGTGCCAGCCCGAATGACGGTTTGCAGGCTACGGACGTGAATGGCTGCATATGGCTCGCCTGTCAGGGTTCGGACCTCCCACGAGGAACGCAAGCGACTGGTGGGAAACGCCATCCTGCCAAATAAAGAGCTTCCGGGGCCAGATACTGGCAGTTCTGAACAGTTTCGATAGGAGATGAGTGTTCTCCCACCGTATACTGGCTGTGCGAAAAAGAGACTGATTGAAGCTGCACAAATACCAATGGTGACCGATGCTGTACTGCACAATGGCACGGCGGCCAGGGTCGGGCCAGAGTGGGCCCGGGGACAATCTGAGTGAAATCGGCAGCCTAAGGCAGCGTCAGTGCTGGATTTTTGCGCTGAAAGAATGAGCAGATAGGAGCTTCCCCCAACGGTGCATTCAGGACCCCCAAAAGCTAGTAACCTGCCGAGTACCTCCCAGCCCTGGACAGGTGCATGTTTGCTTGCTTGCAGCTGCTGTTGCCCCTCCTTTTGAAACTACCCCTGCCCCCTGCCACACTCTGCAGCTCTGCCCCTCAACCCCCGCCTTCGCGCCTGGCCGACCGCCAGCTACAGCCATAGTCTCCTCGTGTTCTTGCCCCTCGTTCTTGTCCCCCCTTCCCAATGTCCATGTATCTACGGTCTTCTCGCCCAGTCGGGACAGTCTTACGACGTATACACTCTCCTCCCAAGCAGCCAATCTCACCTCAGATGTAAGCTTCCGAGCTTGAACCTTGCCCCTCTTCACAGGTCGATAAAAAAGCTGACTCAATTGCTTTCCGCGCAGCTCCTCCCTGGGTCGATACTCTAGCTCCTTCCCTTCCCGAACGACCCCTCGAGCTTCCCGTCCAGCTCGCAACCTTCCCCGCCAAAACCCATTCCGCAGTCTGCCCACGCGCCAGTGCTCCTACAAGCGCAACATGTGCCGCTTCGCTGATGCCGATGGCGCTTCCACGACCCAGGCCCCGACTGACCGCGGTCTGTTGCCTACCAACATTGTTCCTCGTCACTACGACGTGACGCTGGAGCCGAACTTTGAGACGTTCCGATTTGATGGTCTTGTTAAGATTGATCTCGACTTCGCCGAAGACTCCACAAGTATCACTCTGCACGCCCTCGACATTGACATTAAGCCTGCTGCGGTGGTCTTGGACGGACAGGCGACGACCCTGAGTAGCGCGGACATAAGCCACAATGAGGACAGGCAGACCAGCACCTTTGACCTCAAGAAGACTGTGTCGAAGGGCACGAAAGGCCAGATCGAAATCAAGTTTGAGGGTGAACTGAACGACAAGATGGCGGGTTTCTATCGTTCCACCTACAAGAAGGCCGACGGCTCCTCGGGCATTATCGCAACCAGCCAGATGGAGGCCACCGACTGTCGCCGAGCGTTCCCCTGCTTCGACGAGCCTGCCCTCAAGGCCGAGTTTACCGTCACGCTGATTGCCGACAAGAACCTCACCTGTCTCTCTAACATGGACGTGGCTGAGGAGACGGATGCCCACGATGGCAAGAAGGCAGTCAAGTTCAACAAATCGCCCCTGATGTCCACCTACCTCATCGCCTTCATTGTTGGCGAGCTGAACTACATCGAGACGACAGCTTTCAGGGTGCCCATTCGGGTCTACGCGCCGCCATCTGAGGACATTGAGCATGGCCGCTATGCCCTTGACATTGCTGCCAAGGGTCTGGAGTTCTACGAGAAGGAATTCGGGATCGAGTATCCGCTGCCCAAGCTCGACCAAGTTGCCATGCCTGACTTCGCGGCGGGCGCCATGGAGAACTGGGGTCTCATCACCTACCGCACTGTTGAGGTCTTGTTCAACGACAAAACCAGCGGTGCCGTGGTCAAGGAGCGAGTGTCTTCGGTCATTCTGCACGAGCTGGCGCACCAGTGGTTCGGTAACCTGGTGACGATGAAGGAATGGCAGTCTCTCTGGCTGAACGAGGGCTGGGCCGAGTTTGGCGCTCGCTACTCCCTCAATGCCCTTCACCCTGAGTGGAAGCTCAAGGAATCCTTCGTATCCGAGGATCTGCAGTCGGCCTTGTCGCTCGATGGTCTTCGTAGCAGCCATCCTATCGAAGTACCAGTCAGCCGCCCAGAGGAGATCAACCAGATCTTCGACAGCATCAGCTACGCCAAGGGCTCTTGCGTTGTCCACATGCTGTCTGATTACCTCGGCGAGGAGGTCTTCATGGAGGGCGTGCGCAAATATCTGAAGCGTCACATGTACGGCAACGCCAGCACAGAGCAGCTGTGGGAGGCCCTGAGTGAGGTGAGCGGCAAGGATGTTGCTACCATCATGGGCCCCTGGACCAGGCATGTCGGTTACCCTGTTGTATCAGTCACCGAGAACGGAAGTGACGTTCGTCTTGAGCAACACCGATTCCTCACGACTGGCGATGTCAAGCCCGAGGATGATCAGGTCCTCTACCCTGTGTTCCTCAACCTTCGCACCAAAGACGGCGTGGATGGCGATCTAACCTTGAAGAGCCGGGACTCAAGCTTCAAGCTTGGCGAGGCTGGCGAGTTCTTCAAGATCAACGCCAACTCCGCCGGTTTCTACCGCACGCAATACACCAGCGAGCGCCTCGAAAAGCTCGGCAACGCCGCCGACAAGTTGACGGTTCAGGACAGGGTCGGCCTCGTCGCTGATGCCAGCGCTCTAGCGACTTCTGGATACCAAAAGACCTCAGCCAGTCTCGGCCTCTTCCGCGCCTTGAGCAGCGCTGGCGAGTCTGAATTCCTAGTCTGGGATCAGATCCTTTCGCGCCTGGGCTCTATCCGCATGGCATGGATCGAGGATCAGCACATTGTGGATGCCATTATGAAGTTCCAGCAAGAGATCACGTCTCCGCTCGTAGACAGGCTTGGATGGGAGTTCTCCTCGACTGATGGCCACGTTGAGCAGCAGTTCAAGGCGCTGGTTTTCGGCGCCGCGGGCATGAGCGGCAACAAGCAAGTCATTGCGGCTGCACAGGACATGTTCAAGAAGTTCATGGACGAGGAAGATCGATCGGCTATCCACCCCAACATCCGCGGCAGCGTTTTCTCCCTCAACCTGAAATACGGTGGCGAGAAGGAGGTTAGTCTTTGGACACCAATGCAGCTAATTATGAGTTACTGTGCTAACGAAACGCCCTCCCCTTAGTATAATGGTGTTCTCGACTTCTATATGCACAAGGCCAAGAGCAGCGATGAACGCAACTCTGCATTGCGCACACTCGGCCAGTCGCGCAAGATGGTGCAGCAGACGCTTGATCTCTTGCTTAGTGGCAAGATCCGAGACCAGGACGTGTATCTGCCCATCGGCGGCCTGAGAGCCAGTCGCGAGGGCATTGAGGGGCTCTTTGAGTGGATGCAGAAGAACTGGGACGCCATCTCGGCCAAGTTCCCGGCATCATCGCCGATGATTGGCAACGTGGTGGCCTACTGCGTTGGCGGTCTGAGCACGCAGGCGCAGCTCGACCAAGTGACGGCATTCTTCGAAAACAAGGGCACGGCCGGCTTCGACCGGTCTCTGGCGCAGGCGACAGACTCGATCAAGGCGAAGATGTCGTGGAAGGCTCGGGACACGGACGACGTGAGACAGTGGTTGGATTCGCAGTAAAAAGGGTGGGGGCTTGGGAGACGAGAATAAAACCCAGCAGTCCGCGATGTTATTAATAGCCAAACCTCTCTTTGTATCATACTATTGTTTTCTAATCTGGACCACCAGACATCAGGGAAACACGCTCCATTGGAGATCTTGCTGCTTTTGGGTGCTGCAGGGATCGGCGACGGCGGAGGTAGACCAGTACATGTATAGCCACGCCTGAGGTGATTTGCAGCAGACGTGAGAGCTTGTGGCACCACGACGTACGGCGTGCGAGAAACCCGAACCTGCCAAGGGAGGCTCTGAGAAGGGTCTATGGCCCCCAGTTGGAAAAGGCGCAGATTTTGATACCCAGCAAGCCTGCAAGGCGCTCCATCGAATCATGAGCGCTAGTGGTGGGGAGCTCAAGGAATGCTGATGAGCTAGGCGGCTAGGGTCTCGTTGAGGGGCGCCCTACGGTGCGTTGGTGCGTCGCTGCGTTTGGTGGGTTGCTAGGCTTGCTAGGTCTGGTCATGCATGTTAAGCAGGAACACTGGATGACTGCAAACAGACACGGAACGACAGGGTTCTCCGATAACGGCTCCAACGCTCAACACAGGAGGGGTCGGAGGGGCAGAGGCAAATGCATCACTGCCCCTCCTTACGGGCCCGTGCTCCCTTGAACTGATACAGTGTGCTTGTCTGTGGGCAGAAACCTACCTACCCCTCCATGAGGCGGAAGGTGAAGTGAGCGAGCGTGACGGAAAGCCACAGAAACCAAGGCCACGCTCCACGCCAGGGAAGGAGCACGAATGTAAGGCGGTAGCCGAGAGGTACCTGACATTGGGTACCTACCGACCAACCTTGCCTCAGATTGACGCCTCCCTAGCCATCTCTGGTGAGCCCACCCCATAGATATTCAGCTCTCTTGCAAAACACCTTGCTTGTCCCACCTACTTCTACTTCTTCCTCTTGTTTTGACACCGTACTCAACGATTCCAGTAAATCATCACCAAATCTACCAATCTAGGTCAGTTCAGCCCCCCTTTTCCCCCCACGTCATCACCGTCCAAGTCATTACACATTTGACACACGGAGGAGTTCTACCCTGTTGTCCCAAGATCCTAGTTTCAATCCCGCCCCTCCCCCCACCATAGCTTCAGAAACGGCCCGTCGAGGCCTTCTGGCGCTTGCGGCAATTCTCACCGTCCGAGCTTCGCTGAGCGATTTCTGAAAAGGCTTGGTGTTTTCCTGCTGTCATTGGATCAGATTTGTTTTGTTAATCTGCTTACAAGTCCCTTTCCCACTTCCTGATACTTAACTTGGCTGGCTTGCCCCTCCCTTTCGATTCGCGTTCTGTTGCTGACCCCTCCCTTCTATCGCATCAGAACAATTTTCTCCAAAATCGCCCAACATGGCCATCAAGAAGATTCACGCTCGCTACGTCTACGACTCCCGTGGCAACCCCACGGTTGAGGTCGACGTTCTCACCGAGACTGGCCTTCACCGCGCCATTGTCCCCTCTGGCGCCTCCACCGGCCAGCACGAGGCCTGCGAGCTCCGTGATGGTGACAAGGCCAAGTGGGCTGGCAAGGGTGTCCTCAAGGCCGTTGAGAACGTCAACACTGTCATTGGCCCTGCCCTCATCAAGGAGAACATCGACGTCAAGGACCAGACCAAGATCGACGAGTTCCTCATCAAGCTCGATGGCACCCCCAACAAGAACAAGCTCGGTGCCAACGCCATTCTCGGTGTCTCTCTGGCCATCGCCAAGGCTGCCACCGCCGAGAAGGGTGTGCCCCTCTTTGCTCACATCTCGGACCTTGCCGGCACCAAGAAACCCTACGTCCTCCCCGTTCCCTTCATGAACGTCCTCAACGGCGGCTCCCACGCCGGTGGCCGTCTGGCCTTCCAGGAGTTCATGATTGTGCCCAGGTAGGCTCTCCCGATTCCGCGCATGCCGTCTGAAGACCACCCAATAGTTGCTGACTCTCCCAAGCGCTGCTCCCTCTTTCTCCGAGGCTCTTCGCCAGGGTGCTGAGGTCTACCAGATCCTGAAGAGCCTGGCCAAGAAGAAGTATGGCCAGTCTGCCGGCAACGTCGGCGACGAGGGCGGTGTCGCCCCTGATATCCAGACCGCCGACGAAGCCCTCGAGCTCATCACCGACGCCATCGAGAAGGCCGGCTACACTGGCAAGATGAACATTGCCATGGACGTCGCCTCCAGCGAGTTCTACAAGGAGGACGCCAAGAAGTACGACCTCGACTTCAAGAACCCTGACAGCGACCAGTCCAAGTGGCTTACGTACGAGGAGCTCGCCAATCTGTACTCTGAGCTCTGCAAGAAGTACCCCATCGTGTCCATTGAGGACCCCTTCGCTGAGGACGACTGGGAGGCCTGGAGCTACTTCTACAAGGCCCAGGACATTCAGCTCGTCGCTGATGACCTGACTGTGACCAACCCCATCCGCATCAAGAAGGCCATTGAGCTCAAGGCCGCCAACGCCCTGCTGCTTAAGGTCAACCAGATCGGTACTCTGACCGAGTCGATCCAGGCCGCCAAGGACTCCTTCGCCGATGGCTGGGGTGTCATGGTGTCCCACCGCTCTGGCGAGACTGAGGATGTCACCATTGCCGACATTGCCGTCGGTCTGCGTGCTGGCCAGATCAAGACTGGTGCGCCCGCCCGTTCCGAGCGTCTGGCCAAGCTCAACCAGATCCTCCGCATTGAGGAGGAGCTCGGCGACCAGGCCATCTACGCCGGCGAGAACTTCCGCAAGTCTGTCAACCTGTAAATCATGGTGGACCAGACAGCGGGTATAATCGGGGCGAACCCTGCAGGAAAGGTTCCCCCCCCCCTACGGTGTGCGAAGGATAAAACGCCTATTCATGATGATGACCCAGGGACTGAACTCTGAAAAAAGAATAATTAGCCTAGTCAATCGAGGACCAAATGACCCGCAAAGTACGAATGACACGATGCACTTCTTGCGAGCATGACGACGAGGATGATGAAGCCCAAACATGTGGTTGGTCCTGCCCAGTTGGACGCAGTTCAGCAAGAGTTCTCATAGGTGCATATCCTCCTAAACCCCACACAAAGACTAGCGGGCGATTCAGGGATGGCACGCACCGCAGCGAAACCCAAAACCTGGAATCTCACCTTGTCAATCTTGAATTCACAACAAGGCGAGATTCGCGAACAAATGGGTCTCTTCTCTTCATACATTTCTTCCCTTCTCATGATATCCTTTTTTGAATAACGACCACTTGTTTCCCCTGCTTCTCTAGCCTCGGTAGTAACCATCCTGGCACCTTCAGCCTGGATCTGGCCCCGCGGCCTCACCTTAGCTTCATCTCCCCTGCGTCGGCACACCTAGAACTTTCCCCCATTCTGCTGCTGCACAGCACGTCATCGGCTACGCTGCATACCTACTTCCGCGGCCCGGCAAGCAATGAGCGGGCGTACCCGGAACGGGACGCGCATCCAGCTACCGGCCCAGGCCGAACGGAGACCTCTCCTCGGGCGTCATCGGACAACAGACACGGATCTGCTCTACAGTTGCACCGCCAACAGCCTGCACAGCCACCTGCCCGTCTACACGAACATCCATCGCATACGCAGGGATATCATATCCATCGTCGAGGACTATCTCAGCCTCGAGCAGCTGCGTGATGTCAGGATCAACATCGCCGTTGTCCGGCCTCTGGTGGACAAGCTGTACGAACTCGACGACATTTCCATCGTCTACTGTTTGCTGGTCAACCGGGCCCAGTTCTTGTATGAGCAGTCTCACCTGAACAACCGCCACAATGTCAATTTCAGCCGGGCGACGCTCGCCGAGCTCGTGGCGACGAGGATTTTGAGGCGTTTTAGTGAGGACAATGAGGGCGCCGACGGCTTGCTCTTGCTGTCCAACATTCTGGTGGCCGGGTTTGAGCCCTTTCAGAACGCCCCGGAGGAGGTCCGTCAAGAGGCCCAGGCAGCTTCCGACACTACCTACAACCGGACACTGCCTTCCTTGGAGATTGCTATCCTCACCGAAAGCAAGTACTTCCTGAGCTCGACGCCTTGTCAAAAAGTGTAGGTGATGATCTGGGGCTATGGACTGCGGTCCGGCTGGCCCTATCTAGGCAATGCCAATGCTGATTCTTTGCAGTGTGGATGCTATCTATGAAGGGAGGATCATGTACACGCCATCAAGCTACATCGACATCATCCCTGACCACTACAAACACAAGCCGATCTCGCTTTACAACCCTCGTGAGGGCCCCATGCTGAACCAGTATCGCCTCATGGTGCCGAGGACCAGGAACATCCTTGACGTACTCTCCTTCTTGATCCTCCTCTCGTTATATCTCCTCGTCATGGCAGAACGCAGCCCGGAACACTTTGGGTATCTGGAGGCCTGCTTCGCTATTTATGCGTTTGGTTGGTCTCTCGATCAATTCGCGACTATTCTCGAGCATGGATGGTGTGTTTCTTCTTACTTTATTCTTTTGAAGAGACATGACTCTAACGATATGGCAGGCACGTGTACACGCAGAATCTGTGGTCTTTTCTAGACGTTACGTTTATCGGTATCTACGCCGTGTACGCCGTTCTACGCATTGATGGTGCATGGGTGGATGACCTTGTGCCCAAGCAGCAAGCCCTCGACGTCCTCGCCATGGCGGCGCCGGTGCTTGTACCGCGACTGGCTTTCAACCTGCTCTCGGACAACATTGTCGTCTTGTCGCTTCGCTCCATGATGGCTGACTTCTTCCTGCTGACATTGCTGTCCGCTTGGTGCTTTGGTGGCTTCTTGCTGTCGCTGCTCTGGCTTGGGGAGGGCAAGCATCCTCCTGTGTGAGTTTTCACTTTGACAGTGTCGTTCCCTCTGCTTGAGTTTGTCCTGACTTTAAGCAGCGATATCAGCAAGTGGATGCTCTGGATCTGGTTTGGTCTCGACGGTTCGGGCATAGAAAAGTCGGTGCACTTTCATTGGCTGCTCGGACCTGTCTTGATGGTCGCTTTTGCCTTCCTCGGAAACACGCTCTTCCTGACCATTCTGGTGTCCATGCTTTCAAACACGTTCAGCAAGATTGTGGCCAACGCTACAGCGGAGATTCAGTTCCGTCGCGCAGTGCTGACACTGGAAGGCGTCAAGAGCGACGCCGTCTTCTCATACCAGCCGCCGTTCAACATCTTGGCTGTCTTCCTATTGCTGCCTCTCAAATTCATCGTCAGCCCTCGCTGGTTCCACAAGATCCACGTGGCTAGCGTGCGAACCGTCAACTTGCCGCTTCTGCTCATCATTGCCATTGCGGAGCGGCGCGTCTTGTGGCCGGCAGAGACGTCGAAGAAGGAAGCGGCAAACCAGCTGATCCCAAGGCTTAAACAGTGGTTCTGGGTTAACTGGCGCATCACGGCGCACCGTGACATTCGCGCCGTGTTTGACCTGCCGCCACCCGAGTCTGTCGAGGACGACATTGCCGTGGATGACGAGCTGACGCACCACCTCATCCGTCGCCAGTTTACGCGGCAGCAGACAAGCGACTCTATTCCCCAGAAAGGTCTCAATAGGCGGGACTCAATGTTCCCAGGTGTGACGCCGAGGTTGCGCGGGTCGTTCACGGGGAGCGAGGACATGCACGACGTCAACAGCCGGCTCGAGTCGGTTGAGGCTGCAACGGCGAGGATCGAGAGCATGCTGGCGCAACTGTGCGGAAACCAAAGCGACAATTCCGAGTCCAATCTAGGCATGGGCGAGGCCAGCACTTTGCAAGACGTGGACTCGGGGGAAGGCGTCGAGGATACTGATTAGGTGGGCTTCTGCTGTGATGCTGTGTTGGCCAGTGAATCTTTGAGTTTTCAGTAAAAGGAAGCAACGGCGCATGGGCGCATTGGCGCTTGCCAGATTGGCATCTGGGCAATACACGGACGTGTCTAGTTATTTCTCTCTCTAGTTGGCAGGCAGGAGCTGTTTTGTCTTCACCCTGGCGGGAATCCAACTTGTTCTTTACACAACGCATCTAAGATCAAGCTCGAACAGTCCACCAAAAAATCAAGAACCATATTCTCCTGGACAGACTAACAAGAGAACACTCCCATCAAATCGAGCTTTACCTACGAACAGAGTTGACCAAGCTGGCTGCTACGACTGACGACCCGACTATTGACACCCCGCCTAATATATCTGAATATCCCATGTGCGAAGTCAGCCTCCATCAGAACACGCACTGCAAGTGCCGCTGGGGCGAGATCGCCATCCCTTGTGCGCCGGGCATGGGCTTCAGCACGTGTGGACAGATCGGCAGCGGCTTGGCGCGCCGGACACCGACCTGGCAGTCGAGCGCGTATCAACTGTGTCCGGAACACGGCTGGCAAGGCTTATATGATCGGAACCAGGTGCGCATGATCGTAAGTGTGCGGAGGGGGATCAAGCTGGGGTCGGGCCCGAACCGGCAGGACACAGGGTGGGAGTTGCCTTGTGCCGTGATGTAGGCGCAGGCGATGACTTTTATCTCAGAACGCCAAAAGCCGCATGGTTCCTGATGCCCGGCTGGAGGCCCGTTCTGTCCACCCTACAGAATGGCCTGAAATGGCGTCGGCGCTCGAGTGACTATCTAGCTGATAGTACGCTGTGGCATGCTTGGAGAGATTGAGGGCGACCATGGATAAATAGATGATATGAATGGAAGGTTTTTGATCCTCTATCCCTTAGAGTCTCAGTAGCAAATTGTCCTGCTTCACATGGTAGAGGTTGACAAGTTGCTGTATCATGCAAGCCGTTGCTGGCCGTTCACGACAGCTCAACACCAAAAGGTCCCACATCTCCTCACCTGAAAATCTCAAGCTCATGACTTGACCTCTCACGATTTCAATAACATCGAATCAGCACCTCATACACGCGAAACTTCCTCATTTGAGTCGTTCACAAGCCCAAATATCGCGCAAAAGCGCAGTGGTAGGATAAGCAAACGGCCAAAAAATGCTTCCCACACCAGATACTTCCCATGTTCCCTACAGCCGTGTGTACGAGCCCTCGGAAGATTCGTACCTCTTTCTCGACACTCTTTCCAACGCCACCGAGACGTCATTCCTCCAGCGTCGCTTCGCCGGGTCACCGCCCCACGTGCTCGAAGTCGGCCCAGGCTCAGGCGTCGTCATCGGCTTCGTAGCCGCCCAAGCACAGCACATCTTCGGAACCCACGCCATCCTCACATCGGCCATCGACCTCAACGCCTTTGCGTGCCGCGCCACCAACGCGACGGTCCTGCGCGCCGTCGCCGACAACCGCGCCACCGCCGCCCCTGCCTGGCTCGGCGCCTCCATGGGCGACTTGACCGCGCCCTTGCGCGACGCGTCGGTCGACGTCCTCCTCTTCAACCCGCCCTATGTGCCGTCCGAGGCGCTGCCTGTGCCGCCGCCGCCGCCTGTCGGAAAGGCGGGCGAGGAGAGTGAGGTGCTGACCTCTGTGACGGATCGCACGCCGACGTACGATGAGGATTCGTACCTACTCGCCCTGTCGTATGCTGGCGGCACGGACGGCATGCAGACGACCGACAGGCTCATCGATGCGCTGCCGAGGGTGCTCTCGTCGAGGGGCTGCGCTTACGTGCTTCTGTGTGCGCAGAATAGGCCCGAGGAGGTCAAGGCGAGGATACGGGGGCTTGGTGACGAATGGAGAGTCGACAAGGTCGGCGATAGCGGAAAGCAGGCGGGGTGGGAGAAGCTGCAGATCATCAGGGCATGGAGGCAAGCACACGCGACGGCGGCGTGAGGAGCCACCTCTTGTAGCAATATCTGGAAAATGATCATAGTCATTACCGCCATATGGGCTACCCCAGCACTAATCTCTAGACACGGTTCTCAACCTTGAGCAAAATTGGCCTTGTCACTCTATAACATGCAAACCGTTCATTGGAGTCTCGTCAAGTCCAGGCAGGGAGAGCGGATCATGAGGCATAATATGTGTCCATGTCAAAGAGAATCGCCTCACATGCTGTTGATATCCAGAAAGTGGTCGCCGCAGCGGCGGCAGATGTAATATTGAGTCTCGTCGTTGTGGTTCTCTCCCAAACGCCAAAACAAGCATCCCAGTAGCGTCCCTCAGCAGTTGTGCCTTTTTCTCCTGCCTGGCCTGCGCCGAGAGTTTGACGGCAAGGCCCCTCCATCGAAGCTTGCGCGCCGTGACCACGTTCCGTCTTACGAAGCCGCCGACGCTATTCGCGGGTGGCACATCCCAGGCCGACGTCAGGTCCGCCCTCACCGCCTCAGTGAAGCCATGCCACGAGCGCCCACGGCTGCCAGCGCAGCCATCACGATCCAAATACCCGAGTCGCGACAGCGGCGGCCCCCTCCGTCGCCAGCCCTTCTCCATCGCCTCAGCCGCGTCCCCTGCCACGTCCCCTGCCGCGTCCCCTACCCCGGGGCCCGCCACGCGGACCGCCGCGGCCGCCCCTGTCGGTCTCCTTCCTCGCCTTGTTCTTAGGCTTGGGCGCGTCGTCGACGAGCAGCGTGTCGAGCGGCAGCGAGTCGGGCAGGATAAAGTATCGAATCGTCGAGCCGCGAATGTTCATTGTATCGAGCGCAATGGGGTCCTGGCCCTTGGTCGTCATCTTGACTATGCGCAGAGCTGTGTTCATCTGCGGCGAGACGGAGGAGATGGTGCCGTTAACGATGGTGCCATTCTTGAGCTCGATCGTGACCGTCTCGTTGGCACACTTCATCAGGAACCTAGCAGAGACCACACCTGGTCAGCCTTTCATCTGCATCTTCTGCCAGCGGCGCCTCAGGCTTGATCGCAAGCTCTGGTTCAGGGCGAGGCGGGGGAGGGGAGGGGAAGAAGTGGTGGCTCCTGTGACCGAAAGCTGGGGATGGACATACCTGACGAGCTTCATGGTGCCTTCAGGTCAGGATCAATTGCTTGGGTGTATGCGTTGCGGCTGTTTAATGGGTCGCGACGTCTCGAATATTGGACGTTGGTCGCGGCTGGCGGTGTTGCGAGGCAGGAATAGTGCACCGAAGCAGCAACTGCAGCGGCAGCCTCAACCCGTCAAGCCACTAACAATGGACGACCCAAAAAGCTAGGTGAGTGGGGCACATCGTAGATCACGTGATGTGAACATCGCCATGAATACTGGGGTAAGGTACATTACCTGGAAGAGGATTGACATCACATCGAAAGGGGAAAAGAACAAGATTTGGCTAGATTGACCAAATGCTTGTCAGAATCTCCTTAACCTTCCGTGTAGCGCATTCAGATCCGTTCCTAGGCGCGTTGCGATCATCTCCACAGACACAAGAACAGACCTCGCCTCACAAGCAGGGGATTCATACCGGGCGCATACAAGGCGCATAAATACATTTCAAACTTGCACTATTACTCCTAGCCATGGTTTGTGGTTGCTCAACCCTTCTTCCGGGCCTTTTCTACACGCGCGAGCTCCTTATCAATCCTCTTGAAGCTCCAGCTCTGCCAGAACGAGGGATCTAAAGTATGTTGTTAGTCAATGGAGAAGCCGCACGCAGATAGCCTCAAATTGAGGTGGTGATGGACTAACAGAGGAAGGGCCTCAGGTCTAGCATGTTCAATTAGTATGTATAACAGTCTCCGTAATGAGGCAACGTACCGAATCGGTTATCATCGGGCGAATAGTCATTGCTGGTCCTGGTCAGTGTTTTGCGCCACCATGAAGGCTAGGTATATTGTTCCTACCAGTGCACTAGAACAAGTTAGCTTGCGAGAAACAACCAAGAGGTGAACTGATAAAACTTACAGGCTGGTGTGAGGGTGGTAGCCTTGTGACGCGTGATTGCACTATTCTCAAGTTAGCAATTGTCCGCGGACCAGACCTGGTACCCTTCTGCGTAGCAGGGGCTTCAACTCAGTTGCGGAGGAAAACATACTAGTGCACGAAGAAGAATTTGACCTTCTGCGCAATTTCTGCGGGCTCAAGCATGGGATTCTCATCCTCGGGACCCTTCTCTCGGTCCTTGCCCCAAACATGGACGAGGTGCTGCCACATGGAAAGCGGTCCCATCTTCCTCTCTTTACGGAGACGGCCTAGGTTCATTCTGTCAGCATTCACCAACCTGTCGGTGGTCTCATGAATGCCATACCAAAAACGGTCAATTCAGCGTATGACATTCCCATGTCCGCTTCGTCTGATTGGACGTAGTCTTCGGTCACGGGCTCTAGTTCAGCAGTGGGCGTCGCAGTCAGGAACTCTTCGAGGCACGGCATTTCAAATTGAACCTGGGCCCATGCAATGAAGCGTTTTAGGTCCGCCTTGTCGATGGATCCGATGGGGTTGATGTCCGCGGACGAGCAATCGTACTTGGTGAGGTAACCTCTCAGTGCTGTATCATCATCAGTCGTGCTTAAACAGTCGGACATCGATAAAGAGAGAATGATGTGTACCCTCGCCAACATTGGCACTTCCAAGGACGAGCAGGCCGCCTCCACCAGCCAGCTTGCGTGTTGTCGGAAGGATCTGGGCGAACTCGTAGGCAGTCTGGTACACCATCGTCAGTTGAGATACCCGTTAAGTTTTCAACCAGGTGTCTGCCATACCACCATTCGTGTGCGTGCTTGAATGTTCTGCAGCATCAAATTTTCTGATTCAGTTCCACCTTCCACCTTAAATTTCGCGTCAAAGCCGAGCGAGGTCTTGACAAGATCCTTCTGCGCTTGGTACACAGAGTCAATGTCCAGGTTGATGTGATAACTGCCCATGGCCTGGGAGAGATCCTTCGCTCGCTGGCGCGTCTCATGAGAACTTTGCTTCGACATTCCCATGTAGATCGTGTGGAGAACACGGTTGCACAGTTCCTGGGGCGTCTTCGGTAGGGGAGCGTCACCAAACATGCGCTTGACTGTAGTGATGACTGTCTGGTTGTCATCTTTGATCGCAGAGATGACGAGCCGACACATCGAGAAGACAGACACAGCTGGTAGCAAGTTTTAGTGGGGTCCAGAGGGAGCTCAGCGTAGAGGATCACTTACTTGTGGCACATGAGTCCAGGCCGCCTGAAAGAGGAGCAAGACTAAGGAATGTCGTCAGACGCGGTGGGAGGGAACTTATCGATTCGATAAACTTACTATCCTGCGGACTTGCTCCGGGCCAGGTAATCCCAAAGGTAACAACCGGCGCACTTGGAATTTGGTCAGCATTCACGGATACGAGTTCAGCCGGAAGGTGTTCACGCACGAGAGCAACTTCTTCCTCAACCGAATGGAACCTCGCTTCCCGAGTCAGGGTCGGTCGGCGGTAGAGGTCCATATCATCCTCTTCTGGGCTCATCTCGAAAGAGGTCTGAATCCTATGATACTTCTGAGTGCTTCGCGCTGCCTGTAGCGCTCGAGACATGCTCGAACGATAAGCTCGGACTTCCTCAAGATCAATGGTTGCAGTGACGACGTCCACATCGTTGAGTGAAAACTGAGGGCTTTGCGCGAGCACCTCTCCGTTACAGAAGATCATGGCGCAGCCGTCAAAATACAATCTCTCGCCGTCGCCACCTATGAAACTCGTCAGCCTACCATTTTGGGTATTGTATCGCAGGCATGAGCTTTCACAGAACAGCTCGGAAGCGTGCCTGCATCTGGCCCAGTATCATAGGAGTTACATGTAGGCTAAGATGAATGAATACCTTGGACGTTCGAGTACACATATACACCTCCGCACTTGCGAGTGGCTTCTCCAATGAGCTTAAGTCTCACATCGAGCTTCTGGAGGCTGAAATGGCTGGCCGAGCTGTTGGTGATAATTTCAACGCCATCCAGGGTCATCGGAATATCTAAGGAAGACCGTCAACAAGCTGTACGCAAATTATATGTTGCGCTACTCACGTGGTGCCTGAGGGGACCACATCTCCTCACAGGTCTCCGCGCCAAAGCAGCTGTCGGGTGTGCTGACGACGCAATCACCAAAGGGCACATGCGTGGCCCCCTGGAGCTTCTGCAAGCTCTTCGGCAGGTGAAACTCTTCCCACTCTGTCTGTCGAAGCCAGGGGGTGAAGTAGCGCATCTCGCGGTAATCTAGCTTGTTAGCATGGAATCCGTCTGGTCACCGGCGATGCGGTAGGAGGGCAGACTGACTGCCGTCATTGGCCAAATCTGTTTCAAGTTAGTCGTTGTTCACGTCATTGCTGAAACATTCAAGGCAAGTTCATCGCATGGGAAGGTCGGTATCATGCCGTTGCCATACTTACGCATCTTAGGGCGGATGAAGAGGATCTTGCCATCGAGACACACCACCCTACAATTGTAGTTCACATTGCGGTGGGTAACGGGAAGGCCGATATCCAGGAGAATTCCGTGACAATCCTCATCTGATAGAATTCGAACCAACATCTCCATACAGTGAAGATAAAGATCCGGCTCCAGGAAGTGGTCATTGCAAGAGTAGCCTGATATCTCTAGCTCCTGCAGTCAAAGGTTAGGCGCCTGTACAGCAGCATGTAGACCTCGTACGCCGGCTGGGCGAGGGATGGAGTGCCACGCACCGGTCCGACGCGGAGTCTTGCTCCGGCAGCTTTCGCTTGACGGATTGAGTCGATAATCCTCTCAGTGTTACCCTGTCATGAGCAAGTAAGCTTGGCGGGCCTCAAACCACATTTCCAGAGAGCTATACCTCAAAATCGAGCGCCCATTGTCTCAGCGAGCAAGCGGCGACGGTTACGAGACGGCCCATGGCGAAAGATCTTCGTGTCAAGCGACTCTTTGGAATGAGCTGGGCGATTGGCACTCGGGACGAGTGACTGAGGTCTGTGGCGCCGCAATCGGATCCCTGGCGGAGAAGGTGGTTTGATAGTACCAAAAGGCCTGTCAAATGAAGCTAGAGATTCAATTCAGAGACTGCAAGTAGCTATGCGGAACTTTCAATAGCTTGAAATGAACCGGGCGAACCTTGAACCTCAAAACGTTGTTGATGACCGTCAAGGTGGATGAGTGAATCACTGCATTAGTCACCTTGACTTCTCCATCACGCCCCACAGTACCACCTCAGCTGGCTGGTGACACACATCCATCTCATCAACCTCGCTTCATTTGATCTCAGAGTCAATGCTACTGCCACATAGGCGTCTCATCTTGTATCAAATGTAGTTCTGATAAGAAATCTTGATTTGCGACCCAATTGTTACTTTGGGGTCTATCTATCCACTATCTCTCCCGGAAAATACATACATGGATGTGGAGGCTTGATACAAGAAACCGCCACCGACACACAATGATCTGACCGTACTGCAGCTTCAACACACCATATTAAACCTCGTCCTCACTTGGCCCCAGCTCGGAAGCTCCCACTCGTTCATAGCCATCTTCACGTCGGAGCTAGCCACCTCTACACACAGTCCTCTCACTTGTTGCGCATCAGCCACAGTGCCATCGTGCCCGACGATCCGGAACTGGAGATTGTCCTGGAGGTACTTTGTCACCTCAGCTTGGTCAAGCTGTCCCAGGAACCCCTGATCGATCGCCCGGAGCAAGGCTTTGGTCAATGGCACCGTGCCTGAAATGTGATTTCCGCTTCCGCTTCCCATGCGTGGCATAGCGAAGACACCCATTGTTCCAACCAGATTCGACGACGCTTTCCAGGAGACCACGTCCTGAGGGACTGAACCAAGGAAGAAGAGGACGGAGAAAGATCCGTTCAACGCCCCATTGATGACGCGAACGTTGGCAAGCCATTCGGTGTACGCTCCCCGTTCCAGCTCAAGTGGGGGCACGCGTGGCTCTGCTTGAGGGGACAGATCCGGGATACGATTCTTGATAGCGTTGGTGACTTTCGCATGCCATTGGAGCCAGTTTGTACCTCTTTCTGGAAAAATATCCCGATCCGTGCTCTTCTGTTTTCGGGCCAACATTGAGGGACTGGACGAGCCGTATAGGCGGTTTATGGCCAAGCTCACACGGGCTCTGTCGTCCATATTCACCCCTGAGAGCCCTGTCGTGCCGAGACTCGATGTTTCGGCGTAGGTGTACCCAAAGTCTTGGGTGTATCGTGCCATGTCTGAGGTCCAGAATTGACCATCGACGTTGGCCAGGAATGGCGTGAGGCTGGACGAGCTATTCTGCATCAAGCCTCGTGCCATGGTGTAAGTTGGGACTGTAGTGTTCTGCTCCGTCACCCACGATCGTGGATTCAATACTTGCCACATGGCAAAAATCCGATCCACCATGGTGTGATGGAGGAAAAAAACGGGATCAAAGGCCGAGTATTGAAGGTAGAACAAGTGACCCCCATGCCCAACCTCGATATGTATCTCGTCATGTAAGGACTCGAGCGAGTCATATTGCGACGAGTCGGTCCATTCACCCCAGCGTTTATTGCTGAATGGACCGTAGTCGCGATAGTTGGAGAAGAGGTTGAAGAGCCGTTCTTGCAAGTTTGGTAGCGCGCGATCAACGGCCTGCGCAGACTGAGTGTTATTCGAGGTGTTTCCTACGGGGGATCTTTTCGTCTCAGTCCATTGGGGAAACTAGAAGATTTGTCAGAGCTTCTGGTCTTTCTAGGAAACCCCCCAATTGCTTACATCCCCCCAGCCAAAGACCTCAGGGTCCAGGGGTCGAAATTGGTAGCTGAAGAGGGGATTGGCGATTAGTTGTTCGCCGTTGGGGCCGTATACAGACAGAGCTTCTCGTCGGAACTCGGGTATATAAGCACTTTCACCAGGATCTGGGGTTACAGCCCAATCCCAGTACGGAATGCGAAAGTCTGATGCTGCCGCTTGGTATGCTGCTCTCTCGATAGGGTCCCTGAACCATGATGCAATCAGTTGAACGAGATGGAAGAGAACTTGCTGTTCGCTGATTAGCAAAGATTCGCATCATGTGCCACATCATATCACAACAGGTTGTCCCGATATACCTCGGGTAACATACTTCGTACAGGGCTAGATAAGGGCGATGCCAGGTGGGGAAAAGAATAGACATATGCGCGCAGTAGCCGTGACTTGCACCGTCAGTCACGCCCTCGACGCCATTCCACGGGACGAACGGGACTCCATGAATGCCTGAAGCAACACAGTGGTGAGTTGATGGTACTTTATGAGGGAGCGTGGAAAGACTCACCTGTAATTTGGTACCATGAGAGCTCCTCATCCTGGTCGGTGTGCTGCATCATGCTCAGAGCGAGAATGTAGAGATTCCATTTGCGGGAATTCCGTTTCAACTCCCGAATTTCTGGCCGAATAGGCATGCTGCTATTCACCGCTGGGAGACTGGAAACCACGATTGGCTGTTCATTTTGCCGTTTTACCAGAGGACCTATGTCAAACCCGTAGCCATAGGGGCCCAGAATGCCTTTCGAGGCTGGAACAGCCAGGGCAAAAGAACAAAGCGTGGTTATTTGAGTGATAACACGCAGAAGCATGGCGTTTAAGATTGAGAGTCCTCTTTTCTGGTCAAGGCTGAAAGGAAGTGGCCGGATAGCGCATGTGATCCCCAGGGTAGGGCCAGGGAGCTTTTGAGCTGTCGCAACCTTGAGTCAGATGAAGGCTAAGTCTGTGCAGAATTCGACGCAGATTAATAACCTTGGGACGCAGAAAATGCCGTGCTGTATCGCGTCGATGCCGTGGTCTTATCCAGGCACGCGGCGGCTGCGTGCGCAATGTACCAAGCCGTTCAGGGGTAGGGGGTGACGGCGGCCAGTCGTCTGCAGAATGAGAACGGATCGTAAGACACAAGATCCAAGATACTCAAAACTTGATCTGTTTCTGAAGGGAAAGTCGAAGGGTCAAATATCACGAAGAGCTGTTACGCTTGCCCTTGCCGGTGTATCGGTGTTTACAGTTGAAAACCCGGGCGGCCTCTGACGATGGAGGCGGTGACGCGCGTCTGCTCCGAGATCTGGCCGGATGCGCGAAGTAGAAGAATGAATGTAGATCATGGGAGGAGGAAGGACCCCAGGCGAGAATGATGAGGAGGTGGAAGGTATGTTCCGAGAGCACTTGCTTCATTGGGGGGTTCTTTCCCCCGAATGTCGCCAGCCTCACCGTTGCTCCTGTGCAAACAGAAATCAGGGAAGTCTCAGTCAGATCTCCGACTATCAGCAGGTCAAGCGCATCCCTCTAGGTGACTGTTGATAACCGGAGAAAGAAGTCTTCGCGAACCTTTTGCCGTTGTCCCTGATTTGTACCCTCCCCAGTTTGTCGAACGCTTTGCAATATCGATACCCCATGTTCACCACCTCAGTCGACTTTCACGAGAGCCTTACCAGAGCCAGGGCATAGAGATACAAATCATCAACTTTGGGTTCCCTTGCTACTTGATGACCATTCTACCTATCGCTGCGAGCACTTGCCTGCGTTGGCTTTGTGTGCCAGAGGCAAATGGTTACGCAGCTGTTCTATCATCCACGCACGCAGATAAGCCCATTTGGATTATTTCCAACCACTAACACAAAGACCTTGAGGAAGTGTCTCATCAATCCATGTTCGGTAACCTACAGATCTCGCGTCGCGCTTTGCACCCAACCATGCTTCATGCTGAGAGGTCAAGTCTTGCCTACACGGCTACCTGCGTCCTGATATGCAATAAATCTGCGCTGCCTCTGCCTCTCCACATCGGTACACTGGTAGCACGAGATGGTTCATCAAGCCATTTATCGTCCTCTTACCTCTGAGATTTGCGTCAGAGTTGGTCTGTCCAGGTAGTCTGACCACACATAGATTTGAGCATTGCAGCCCAGCAAAACAGGTATTACAGCGAGACACAGTAGTAAGCGGCTTTCTTTCCATTCCGTTGTCGTGAAAAAAGATATCTTGATACACAGTCAAAAGTCATGCAAACCCCAATGTTACGCCTTGCCCAAAACGCCATCCAATGCCTTCATCGGTTTCAGCGCGCCCTTCCTCGGCGCATCCCGTTGGTCCACGCGGTACTTGAGCTTGACGCCCATGGCCGCCAGCTCGACGTCGAGGTACTTGAGCGCGCCTGGCACAACCACAACGGTCGTGTTGTCGCCGCCTACCCATTGGGTGCCCTGGCCGTCCTCCCAGATCTCGCCTTCGATGCTGTCGCCCTCAAGGTCGGTCTCGTCGAGCCGCTTGGCGCAGCTGCGACACCGCACCGTGCTGATCTGCTTCTTCTTACCGACGAACGGTGACACGGTTGGCTGCACCGAGAGGAACGAGCCACACGACCGACAAATCCAGGACTTGGTGTAATCCGAGCAGTTGAGCAGACGGTCCTGCAGGAGGAACGCTGTGCCGTGCGCCAGCAGGGCGTCGCGCTCCATCTCACCGACACGGATACCACCACCCTTCTTCCTGCCCTTGATAGGCTGGCCGGTGGTCGGCACCACGGGACCCGTCGTTCGCACCTGGTACTTGTCGTTCACCATGTGACGTAGTCGCTGGTAGTACACGACACCAATGTAAATGTCGGCCGAAAGCTCCTCTCCTGTGATGCCCGAGTACATGGGCTCGTTTCCGTGGTAGTTGTAGCCCGCCTTCATCAGCTGATGCCCAAAGTAGTCGGCCGCCGTGTTCTCCTCGTTAAACTTGAACGGCGTCGAGTCCTGTGCCAGACCGTGTAGCGCACCCGCCTTACCCGCAAGCGACTCCACGAACATGCCGATAGTCATGCGCGAGGGGAAAGCGTGCGGGTTGATAATGGTGTCAGGCTGCATGCCAGATTCAGTGAAGGGCATGTCGGTGGCAGGCCACTTTTGCGAGGCGACACCCTTTTGTCCGTGACGAGAAGAGAACTTGTCACCGATGACGGGGGCACGAGGCACGCGAAGCTTGATCGATACAGTCTGCGCCGGCTCATTGCCATTCTCGCTGCCGATGATGCGCACCTCCTCAATGAAGGCCTGTTCCGACTCCTTGTACTTCTCGTATTGCGTCTGGCCGTCGAGGTTGGTCAGATTGCCGTTGAAGTCTGCCGTGACGGTGTGATAGGCGCAAAGAATGTCTCCTTCCTGAACCATGCGGCCGACGTACGGAAGACCGTCTTCGTCGAGCATACTGCGGTACTCGCCCTTGACGAAGCTGTTGGGAGCGAAACCGAACAGCTTGGTGACTTGCTTGGCGGTACGACTTCTCGAGTCATCCTTGAGTGAGACCTTTTTCACCTTGTAGATTGTACCGTGTCCGAATCCGCGCTCGTGTGAAGACTTGTTCAGGATCATGGCGTCGTCCATGTCGTAACCGGTGTACGAAATGACGGCAACAACCGAGTTCATTCCGTTGGGGAAATTGTCAAAACCGTACTCGTTATGCAGTGGCGACCTGACAACAGGCGTCTGTCCGGTCTGGATGCGGTAGAGCTTGTTGTCGGTTCGGTGTGCCAGCGCCGTCGCCGGTGTGCCCATCGTCTGCTTGCCCATCTGGCACTGGTACATGTTTCGGGGAGATTGGTTAAAGTCGGAGAAGGGTGTCATGTTGGCCAGGATGGACAGCATATTGGTAGGGTCAAATTCGACGTGCGTGGACTCGCCGGAGATGATCTCGTTTTCCACGACGGCGATGGACATGTACGGCTGCTCGTGGGGGCCGACATAATCTTGCTTCTGGAGAGGGAGGTATTTGACAGGCCTGACCATGCGGGCCGCCTTGGATGCAATGTACAGGCCGGGGTAGGAGCCTCCGTTGGAAGGAGGCACGTAGCCAATCTCGAGCTCCAAGGGCACGCCGTGTGTACCCTCGACCTTCCAGTACCGCAGCGTGTCGGCGATGCGAATAGACTCCTGGGGCGTGGAGAAGCCCAGCACGCGACCGTCGAGCATGACAACGACACTCTCGTCGGTGGCGGCACTGGACGTGCTCACGGCTCCCATTTCTGCTACCAAGGCAGGTAGAGTCGATGTGTCAACGGGGTCCGTCATGATTCTACACTTGTGGGCAAGATGATTCAGCAGACCGCAAGGCGAACCATCGGGGGTGTGCACTGGGCACAAGAAACCCCAGGATTCGGGCAGAAGCTTTCGGACAGTTGTGGTCTTGAGTTCCGCGAAGAAAGCACCACGATGAATCATCCGGAAGTGACTGATGAAACGAAGGAAGTTGAGCTTCTCAGCCACAACGGTGTAGCCGGCGGTCTGCTGGAGATCGAGACCAGACGGGCTGGTGAGGTTTCCGGTCGACATGAAGTATTCGAGACCAGAGCCGAGGCTCTCGTTCGCGAGCCGGAAGATGGTGGCAGGGAAATCCTTTTGGAAATCCTGAGAAGTGAACGTCTTGGCGGGGAATTTCCTGTGGTAATCACGCAGCGATGCGCGGACAGCCGTGGAGAGGAATTCATCGAGACGCTCCTTCAAGATCATGCCGTAGAGGAAGCCGCCGAGAAGAACCTCCTGGTTCTGGATAGCATCAGGGTTGTCCACCGAGCACTCGCCAGCAACAAGGGCATACAGCTTGCGGATCATGAACAGCAGCATCTTGAACTTGTCGCTGTCTTGTTGTTCCGTGACGTCGACATTTCCTAGGTGTACGAGCACGATCCTCTTCAAGAACTCGGTACCAACATCGTAGTGGGACATGGTATCGGGAACGCCCAAGACAACGCGGAACTTTTCGCCAAGATACGCTCGAGTCTCCGTCTTTGTGTAGAGGCCGTAGCTGGTGTAGGTACGCAACAAGAGCTCGACGCGGTCGGTCAAGAATGTGTTCTGGGCAGACTTGGAGCCCTTGGAACCAATCAAACCCTCAAAGATTTCGCGGTCGTTCGTCTCGACGAGGGCCTTGAGGATCATCATGACCGGAACGAGGTATTCGTTTTTCCTCCAGGAAAAGCGGAAGGTCATGTTTCCATCGGTAAGATAGTGCAGGACGTTTGTTTGAGAAGTTTCGTCGGGCCTAACTGAGCGAAGAATGATGCCGTGAGGGCTGTAGCCGGCGCCACGGTTGGCGAAGCTGGGTCGGTAGATGGCCATTGGGAAGTTTCGTCGGTTGACCTGGAGCAGTCGAATGATTTTCTCGATACCGTTGACGATGAAGTAGCCGCCCAGTTCTTCGGACTCTTCCTTCCTCTTCACCAGCAGATCGGGCGAGTTGCCCTCGAGATGACACCGGTTTGACTGTGCGAGGGTGAGTTGGTGCGCCCTGGAGAAAGAGAGAGCGTAGACTTCGTGATTTGGCTTACCTTGACCATGATGGGCATCTGCCCCAGATCGCGGGTGAACTCCTTGGCATCGCCATCATTGATGCGGAACTCGAAGGTGGCGGAGAGCTTGCCACGATAGGTGACGTGCCGTTCTCTGCACTCGGCAGGGAAGATCTCCCGGGTTTTGGCGTACTTGTTGGAAGGCGGCAGTTGTGACTTTTGAAGGGTAACACCCTTGTAGCGAATGGTCAATTTATTCCTTTGACCTTGGGGCGTTCGATCGTCGCCGTCGAGGAATGTCTTGGTGCCAATGTCGGCCAGGCCGTGATCGAGCAAACTCGGCTTGCCATCGTTGCGGAACAGGGCATTGAAGGACTCGATGTGTGGGCTCACGGCTGCCTGGAGCGCAGGGTAGGCAGTGTGATCCTTGGGAGGGTTTTTGAAAAGATTTTCTCGCCGCAGCGTATTGTATTCATGGTCCCATTTCGTGTTGGTGGCGGAGGGAGCCATGGTGCCTGATTCGGGTCAGGGGGATGGTAGGAAAGCGTGCAGATGGTGAAGAAAGGTGGCGCAAAGTCTCTAAACAGCGCCCCAAGTTGGCATTGAGTGCATGCACGGATGCTGTCGTCGCAGTTGGGCAGCGCGATCAGCAAGTCGTGAGCCAAAAGCCTTGCTTGGTGGGTGTCTAGACGGATGCTCGAATGGCGACCAGTCGATTGCACGATGAAATCAAATCGGCTCGGGAGCTCTCTACGATAAGACACTGGAAAAAAAAATTGATGGCGGGGAGTGATTCTACCAAATGGTTGGACGGATAAGAGACGGGAAGCTGTCGATGGTCCCACTGGGAATGCTCTGATAACGATAGACCCGCTGCCGCCTGTAACATGCCGTACATTGGTACCATTTCCGGCAGGCTGGACCTCTGACAGGTTTTTGAAGTGGACGGAGCATCCACCTGCCTAATCCCATGCTTATACAGCCGTCTTTATCCTCGAGCACGAAAGGCACATCGAACAGTAGAAGACATTCGAATGATGGGCCTGTAACACTCATTTGAACGCAGCTTGGACACACCATACCGCATGCATGCTATATTGGTTTACCACGGCCTTGGCCATCGAGATTCGACCGTCATGGGTGCCAAGAGGCAATGTTGTGCACGCACTTAATATATAGTCTTCATCTCAAGGTGTCTAACATTGGTGGGTAGGAGCTTGGATCTGGAGATCTGTGTCATTGACTTCTTGTCTCACAGGAGACCAAAAGGGACCGTTATTGCTTGCAGGTCCAAACACACATGAACTCCCGTTGCGCCCGTTCTCATGTTTCGAGTTGACGTGTTGGCCCATCGCAGCAAGTTCGCCGTCGCTGAAGTGATGAAGCTGTCGGCCGACTCGGTGGCTGGTTTGGTCGCATACCCGGTCCGCCCCATCTAGACATCCCACCATAGGTAGTTGAGGCCACGCGCACTAACGCCGCCCATTGCCGACCAGGACGAAAAGCAGTGAGGCACGCTGCGTGACCTGCAGCTCGACCCCAACCGGCCGACACAAACACACGCGCGCGCTCGCTCACACACACACACACCCACACCCACACCCACACGCAACCATTTTGGTTGCCAGCCTGCTGCGCAAGCCCCCTCGCAGGCTGCGACTCCTGGTATTCACTGTACCTCTCTGCCTCAGTGCCTCAGCACGAAGTCACCTCGACGTATCATATTCATGTTGAGGCGCCCTGCAGACAAGTGGAAAGACAGGGTAGGGTGGCACCCTTACTACCTCACATTGTTATGTGCCTATGTACCAAGGTACCTGGCAAGGCTACACCTTATGCTGGCGGCTCATCTGGGGCCTGAGGCCTCGGGCCTTAGCCTCTGTAGAAGCCGGCCGGCCTCTTGACGGTTCCTGACGGCCCAGTACAAAGACCGTCAATAAACAGTGGGTGGCCTCTTGACCCCGCGACTCAACTCGATTTTGTCACGTAGAGGGGGAGGAAGGCCGTTCTGGGCGCGTATGAATGTATGTTGGTGAAGCTAGCCGCTCTAACCATCACGGGGCCAGACCACAAAGAAGTCGTGTAAAGCGTACCTAGAAGCCTGGTCAAGGACGTCACTGGAACAAGCGCTGTCTCCATTTATTACTCCGTTCTCCTGCCCGTCCCGCCTCGGGCCGTGGGGTCCAGGAGCCGTTCACTACCTACTAATAAACCATACCCGTGAAGCCAGGCTAGGCGCGTTAGCTACTACGGTCAGTCCTACTTAGGTACCTTACCCAAGCAGCCCAAGCTACCTAGGCACCACACCTACCCACCCACCCACCTCGCCTTATTACCTTACCTTGCCTTGCCTTACCTGACCTCGACCTCCACCGTCAAAAGCTTACCCATCTCCTCATCAGACTCTCGGACAGCATTCCTCAGGAGCTTGCTAGGCCTCCATCCCCCGCAAATACTCGACGACGTACAGACATTTTTGAGTGACCACTGCCTGCCGCGGCCCGACCATCGTCCTCAAATTGCCTGTCACTCCATCGTTGAGCACTGATCACCACATTGTGCGCACCGCCGGACACTGGGCACTGACGTGGTGGCCCCAGCACGAACACTTGAGTCGAGCGTTGATTGCCATCATCGCATCTCCTCGCACAGCGCACACCTACAAGCCTTCGAAAGGGCGTACCCGGGGACTTGCGCTGCTCGGCTTCTCGAGCGCTTCGGTCTGATCGTGACCCTGATTCTGATTCTGCTCCTGCTCCTGCATCTGCATCTGCCTTACCGTTGCTTGCTGCTCCACATCTCATCGGCAGGAGGACACGAATGAGACCCTGGTCATCACCGCTACAGGGCGTCCGTCAGACTGCAAGGCTTTGAGCAGTCGCGTCGCATTACTGCCAAACCTGCCTCCGGCCTCTGCGATTGCCTCTACGTCCCGCTTGACCACCTACCGTCATTACATCGACACGGCCCAGCACAACTTGTGCTTCCTCTGTGGCTCCTGGTTCCTGTGCAGCTTGGCCCATACGTTCGGTTCGTTGCGGGTGGGGGCTTCGTGCGTCTTCATCTGAGCGTCACCTTGACTTCTAATCTACCCGCTGCCACCGATTCAACTCCGTCACTTGCAACTGCGCCAGGCGCGAACCAACACTCTCCACCTCTCACACGACCAAAATTTGCACCCCTCCGGAGCCATTTCGTGCAGGCTACGACCGCTGATCGGCTGTGACGGTCATACAGAGATACTCACTCCTTGCTGCCTACTTACTCCATCAACATCGACGTAGGCTTGCTCTGCGCTGAGAGCCTTCCGATCTTCACCTTAATACCCCACCCCCGCCGCCCCTCCCTTCACCGTCTATCCTGGTTGCGCCGAGCATCACGCGGCACCCGATACAGCAGCCTCGCCATTCTGTCTCGTGCCTCTTTGACCTCGTTACCCTCTTCTTTGCGGGCACAATCTTCATTACAATGGCGGGCTTGTTCCGAAGGATGTATGATTGGTTGCTCAGGACGTTTTGGTGCGTGGATTATTCCTTCCTGGAGCGTCTGTCGCGGCCAGCAACGCGCAATCTCGGTATTCGCTGACCAGCTATGCAGGGCAACGGAAATGGATGTGACCATGATCGGACTGCAAGCGGCAGGCAAGACGTCTCTGCTGCGTGTCCTAGCTGTGAGTATATTTCGCGAGATACCTTTGCCGCACCTGTTTCTTGCTAACGCGCCTTGGTCAGGGCGGCGAATTCACGATCGAGTAGGCACCCCCCCGTCTGCTCTTTGCGATCTCTCAACCCTTAGCAAACCCGAAGCCGCCGATGCAGCCCCCCATTCGGTTGGCGGTCCTGGACAGCGATGAACTCGGCTAACTGTCAACTTGTGTAGCTCGATCCCGACGGTCGGATTCAATATGAAGCGTGTGCAACGAGGACACGTCACACTCAAATGCTGGGATATTGGTGGACAACCCCGTTTTCGGACCATGTGGGAGAGGTACTGCCGAGGAGTGAACGCCATCGTTTTCATCGTCGACATTGCCGATGTAGATCTGCTTCAGCAGGCCCGGGACGAACTCCATGCGCTCATGGAGCAGAACTCGTTGAAGGGCATTCCCCTTCTCGTACTTGGCAACAAATCTGATCTGCCGAATAAGCTGTCCGTTGATGAGCTCATCGATGCTCTGGACCTCAAGACGATCGGTCACCGCGAAGTCTGCTGTTACGGCATCAGCGCCAAGGAGGAGACAAACTTGGATGCTGTCATTCAATGGCTCATGAAGTGGGCCAACAGGTGAAGTCACAAGCTGCGTGATGCTTTTTGGGCGATTGGCGGCTGCTGGCAGTGTAGGAGCTCATTCGCACAGCAGGCTTCAAGCCGGCATGCGTTGGATGCCTGTTCCGGTTCGCTGAGTAGTCTGCCTGGTGTGTAATGGCTCAAGACGTCAGGGAGACTTGGAGAGTCGGCAAGATTCGCAGTTCATGAAGGACTGCTTACGATTCTTCCGCCATGAACGAAGAGAAGGCCTTCATCTCAACACGATGTACGTTTGGAAAGACTGTATAACCGCTCAGTCATTGAAGGTTGGGTACAACAGTCTCGGAGGAGGAGAAAGCGTTGCGAAGCCTTTGTCGGAAGAAGAGCGGGGCAGACTAGGCTCATGGTGTCTCGTCGTTACCGCGAGGTGTTTCATTTTGTCCAGTAAAGGGCAATGCGACATTGCGTCGGGCAGCGAGGTAACACGGCCGATTGGAACTGGGCGGCTGACCAGCATACGTTAACGATGGATGACGACGATGATACGAACTTTCCAATTTTTCAGATGAGAAAATATGACCACCATGAGCACAAGAGTCACCCTATAGCCAGTTCTCGTGTGCGATGGTAAGGTACCTCTAGGTGGGCAATCCTGGTAGCTTTGACGCGCCCCATGAAGTCGGTCGGAGGTGTGTTGACAGGCTGGGCGCTTCCATGATCAGAAGCGCCAAGCAAGGTGTCCAAATGCTCCTAGCATGGGATGAGCTATGGCGCGCACTGCTGCAGTGCCCGTTTGATCTCTTTGGGAGAAGACTGGCGGGTTTCCGGCCGGTGTGAGAGGAGGCACAGGGACTGTTGGGGAAAGACAAAGAAAGAAAAATAAAAACAGAAAAGATCTCGAGACAGGTAGCTCAAACCTCAAATGGGGGACTATACTCACGATTTATCAACAACGCGAGGCCGGCTGCTGCGTGCTCTGTTCAACTTGCCAGCGCATCGTGCATATGGAGAACCCTCTGAGCGAGCACCGGATTGGTTGCTGCGCGCGCGAGGTACGATGCCGCTGATCACGGCGGCACGACAACTGGCACATACTTGGCGCGACAGGAGGCCAGCCAGGGCCAGAATTGGGCGGATCAGCACATCAGATTGCCGTCTTCCCCCTCTTTGGACAAGTTGCTGACTGGACGAAATGGTGGGACCGCTGGCTTTTGTGAGTCGAGTCAACGGTCATTAGTAGAGGAATTGATGGAGCTGATCTGACAGAGAGGCACAGGCGCGGGCGATCCCGAAATGCTCACACTCACAGCATGGCGCGTGCCGATGTGCTTCGCGGTAGTGCGCCGTCAGCTGATCTACTGTGCATGCAGAATCTCACATCTACTTTAGAACTCCATATCATGAGGTTTGATTCATGCTCCAATACCTTTTCTTCAACCACCCACGTACAACCCAGGGTTAGCTCAAGTGATGGAACATGCAATTAGGTATGGTGCCTACCCACCAGGCGTGCACCTGCCTCGCTCGGCTGTTTAATGGCAGCACGCTCCAATCAGGCTAGGAGGACCCCGCAACCCCACGACCACGGCGTTCATGGTCCACCCAAGCCCCTACTGCATAGGAGCTTCGTTGTTGGCCCAGACCTGAGCACGCCCTTCGAGTGCTTGTCTCCGGCGCCTTTAATCAACTCGCCCTCTCAGCACAGCTCACAGAGGGGGGCTTTTTTGAATGAAACCCCACCCTTTCGAGCCCTCGGATTTAGCTCTGCCATGTCCAGACACTTCTTGGTGTGTGACAGCCAGTGGGCCATCTTCAGACACTGGACAAGACCACCCCTAACGAGTATCCCATCTTGGTCGACTCGTTGTTCACCTAGCAAGACATCGTTTTCCAGAGCAATGTCTACCACGAAGCCTACAGATGCCGCTGCTCCTGCCAGTACCTGGCTGGGTCACAAGGGGGCAGCGGGCTTTGACTTGAGAAGTGAGCCTAGACAGCGTCCAATGATGACACAACAGCACAACGGCGCTGACATCGCAAACAGGTGATACCATGACAACGCCCACGCCGGCTATGCTCGAAGCCATCAGGGTAGGTTCCCTGTTCGACGACGTGTTCGAGGAGGATACGACAACGATCGACCTCGAGGCCCACGTTGCGGCCCTCGCGGGCAAGGAGGCTGGATTATTGGTCCTCTCTGGGACGATGGGCAACCAGCTGGCGCTCCGGTCTCTGCTCACTCAACCTCCACACAGCGTCCTGAGCGATCACCGCTCTCACATTATCCAATATGAGGCGGGCGGGTGTGTCTCTACTCATGCTCGAAGACAACTCTCCATGTCGTACTAACCGTGTACGCAGCGTGTCATCCTTGACGGGTGCCTTTGTTCAGGCTGTCGTGCCGCGGAACGGTATACATCTCACGCTCGAGGATGTCGTGGACAGCGTCTGCATCGACGACGACGTGCACTCGTGCCCCACCAGGGTCATCAGTCTCGAGAACACGCTCAACGGAATGATCATGCCCCTGGAAGAGGCCAGGCGGATTTCGGCCTTTGCGCGACAGCACGACATTAAGATGCATCTCGACGGCGCACGGCTCTGGGAGGCCGCCGCATCGGGCGCCGGCAGCCTCGCTGATTACTGTCCTCTCTTCGACACGATCAGCCTCTGCTTCTCCAAGGGCCTCGGCGCCCCCATCGGCAGCATTCTCGTGGGGCCGACCAAAACCATCAAGCACGCGCGCTGGGTGCGCAAGTCTATCGGCGGCGGCCTCCGTCAGTCGGGCGTCGTGGCGGCGCCGGCGCGGATCGCCGTGGACCAGACGTTCGGCACGGGACCCAACGGCGAGGGCGGCCTGCTGACGACGTCGCACCATGTGGCCAAGAAGGTTGAGACACTCTGGACGGGACTCGGCGGCAAACTACTTCACCCGGTGCACACCAACATGGTCTGGCTTGATCTGACAGCGGCGGGGTGTTCCGCTGCCGCGTTTGTGCAATACGGCAAGGATGTCGGCCTGAAGCTCGGCAGCGGACGAATCGTGGTCCACTATCAGATTGCGCAGAACCAGGACCTCGTGCTCCCCAAGCTGGAGGAGGTGTTCCAGAGGACGCTGGCGGGGGGCCAGGCTGAGGCCGAGGTGAAACAACAGACAGGGCGGACGAGCATGTATACTGTCCATTGAGCACGTCAGGCTTGCCGACGTATTCACGATTCAATATTCAAGCACATGATGTAGAGTTGTCAATTAATGAACAAAAGTATCAGCAAAGAAGTATCTAGTACGCGCTGACAGTAGATAAACCTTGAACACGCCGAAAACATAAGACCACACGCAAGGAGGTGATAAAAAAAGCCACTTTTCTTAAAGATAAGCTTAACTTGAACTATTTTCACGTCTGCTCGAAACTAATACAAGTAGATACGTTTTTCAATATATTGCTAATTATCTATCAAGTAGGATTTTAGAACATTTAATTGAGGTACGATGTTGAGAAGGTTCTGAAGTTAGGGGTCTGTATGGATGATACCTGTATTGGGCGGATTTGGCGGATTTGGAGTGCGGCTTAATCTGCCACCCACTTAAGCCGCTTGACACGGGTCAAAGAGCGCTGTTACAGAGTGGCATGCCGTAGGGCGCGGGACGCCAAGACGTCCAACGGCACTTCCGAACAGCCACTGACATAAGTATTTGCCTAATTTTCTGGGGCTGCTGCTGTTGTTGATCGTCACTCGGTGCCCAGGAACTGGATGTGCCGGCTACTTGATTTTTGAATGTCCACTTCTCCAGACGCGGGACTGTCCCGCCCATCTCATTGTCAAGCCTTGGCCATTATTCGTTTTTCGTACCAAATTACTGCGTGCGCCGCCGCCGCCATTTATTCGTGTCTGGCGGATAGCCCAAATGGCTTTCAGAAGCTCGATTTAGGGCCATTTGAGAGATGGAGTGGCACTGAGTGAGCAGTACCATGCAGGCCTCGGCGGGTGGCGCCAAGGCGCCGATGTCAGCCGCTGTAATGGCGGCCCCGCTTACCCCAGGTTGACGTCATGGTGGTTGGGGAAAGGACGAAGGAGGGGGGGGATCAGTGAGGAAGGAAGCTTCGAAGCTACCTCTTCAAGACCTACCTACCTACCTTGGGTACTTACCTTACGGCACCTAGGTAGGGGCCTAAGAAAGTACTGTGCTCCCAAGACGGCAGTGCCATCATCTGGACTATTGAGCAATGGAATCTGCAGGTGCCCAAGCCACCAGTGTCGGTTCTACTCCGGCCACCAATGCGCCTCCGTCTTTGTAGCGCGGGGGCTGCTTCGTGTCGTTCGCCGCTCTCCCAGTTCAAGGGTTGGCGGATCTGGTGCAACTGCTACCACGTGCCTGGCCGTTTGCTTCATCGGTCACGCTCATATGGGAGGCACCGCCTGGCACCAGCTAACCGGTGACGGGAATTGGGGCTCGAGGGGTGATGGCTTGACTGGGGGAACAGGAATCGATTGTTCGCATATGAAAAAGGCCGTCTGCTCAGAATGACAGGTCGAATGGGTTCAATGGGTCCGTCCCGAACCGAGCAACTGAGCATCCACCCCCCGGACAAGGCTCGTTCACCGGCAGAACCGGTCGACGCGCATCGTCTTCCCCGCCACGTCCCTCCCCTGCCCTGACCCTCTCGGACCCAGCAGGTTTTCCAGGTTGGCACCTCTGCAGTTCTCTCCGTCGGTGATGATGATGACCTCGTGGCTCCTGGTTGGCGCAAGCTCATGCGACCTAGCACACGCACCGTTCCTGCCCCTAGCCGAACACCAAGGCACTTGCGACCCAATGCAACCGAACCCAGGATGAACCACTGACGGGCCAGGCGGACAAAGGCTGACGGCGCCAAGTGGCCCGGCGATCTTCTCCCCCTCCGACGAGGGAGCTCGCCAGAGCTCTTTGGCATCTTTTTTCTTCCCTCTGTTTGCGCCTGCCGCTTGTGCTGCTGCTGCTGCGGTCGATGCTAGCTACTTAACATGCATCGGCTGCTCAGGCAGTGACCTTCTTCTCCTTCTTCAGCCCTTTCCCATCCCCCCCCTCTCTGTCACTCTCCCCTCCCGCTCCTCTTATATTTTTTCCTTTACCCTGCGCGCGCAATCTGTGCTGCAAGTTTGGGCATCGTGCTCGTCAACCATGACGCTTCTTTCCAAGTCGGTGGTGGCGTTGGCCGCGGCGGCCCCTCTGGCCAGAGCCCAGCTCTTCCGCAATGGCTCTGTCATTGCCCCCTGCGACTCGGCCATCTACTGCCACGGCGAAATCTTGAGCCAGATCCAGCTCGCTCGCCCCTTTGAAGACTCCAAGACGTTTGTTGACATGTGAGCCTCCTGCCCGTTTCGCCTGAGCTGGAGGACCGTAGACTGACCGTCGCAGGCCCGCTAAGAGGTCCTTGGAGCAGATCCAGGAGGCATTCGACGAACTGGAGAAACCGTTGACGAACAACACGGCACTGAACGACTTCCTCGCGGCCAACTTTGCCCTGGCTGGCGGCGAACTGTCTGAGGTGGATGACCTCGAGACGGACGCCCAGTTCCTCGACAACATCAATGACACTGTCATCCGCGAATTCACTGAGAAGGTCATTGAGATTTGGCCCGATTTGACTCGCTCCTACACCGGCGCTGGCAGCAACTGCACCGACTGCCCCAACAGCTTTATCCCTATCAATCGTACTTTCGTCGTTGCCGGAGGCCGCTTCCGTGAGCCCTACTACTGGGACTCGTTCTGGATTCTCGAGGGTCTGCTGCGTACGGGTGGCAGCTTCATCGAAGTCTCCCGCAACCATATCGAAAACTTTCTCGACCTCGTCGACCAGTATGGCTTTGTCATGAACGGCGCCAGACGGTACTACCTCAACCGCTCACAGCCGCCTCTGCTCTCGCAGATGGTACGTCTCTACGTCGATCACACCAACGACACCGACATCCTTGACCGGGCACTGCCGCTGCTCATCAAGGAACATGAGTGGTGGACTGTCAACCGCACTGTTGAGGTGTCCAAGGACGGTCGGACTTACCAACTCAACTTGTATGTCTGCCAATGTTCTTTATGATCAATGGCCGAAACCGCTGACATGAGTGACCTAGGTACAACGTGTCGAACACGCAACCCCGTCCCGAGTCCTACTACGAAGACTACACCACCGCATCCAACAGCTCCTATTACGCCGAGTCCGGCATCATCTACCCCGAGACCAGGGAGCTGAACGACACTGAAAAGGCCTTTCTCTATGCCAACCTCGCCTCGGGTGCCGAGAGCGGCTGGGACTACACCTCGCGATGGTTGTCCAAGCCCAACGACGCTGTTCGCCATGTTTATTTCCCGCTTAGGTCGCTCAACATTGTGAACATTGTCCCTGTTGAGCTCAACTCGATTCTCTATTGGAACGAGGTCACCATTGCTGGCTACCTCAACCAGACTAGCAATGAAACGCAGGCTGCAGAGTGGACCGAACTGGCTGCCAACCGCAGTGAGGCTATGTACAACCTCATGTGGAATGACACGCTGTCCGGTTACTTCGACTACAACCTCACGTCTGGAGCCCAGGACACATTCGTCCCAGCGGATGATGACACGACCGATCTTGAAGCCACTGGCGCCCCGGAAGGTCAGCAAGTATACTTCTCCGTGGCACAGTTCTACCCCTTCTGGACCGGCGCTGCGCCTGCCCATATCAAGAACAACCCGCTCGCTGTCAAGACGGCGTTTGAGCGGGTCGCCACGTACCTCGATACCAAGGACGGCGGCATTCCGGCGACGAACCTGCGAACTGGGGAGCAATGGGACCAGCCTAGTGTGTGGCCTCCTCTGATGCACATCCTTATGGAAGCGCTTCGCAACACGCCAGCCACCTTTGGCGAGTCGGATCCTCACTACATGGAGGTGCAGGACCTGGCCCTGCGTTTGGGCCAGCGCTACCTCGACTCGACCTTCTGCACGTGGTATGCCACGGGAGGCTCGACGAGCGACACGCCCCAGCTGGAGGGGTTCGATGAGCGCGAGGTTGGCATCATGTTCGAGAAGTACTCGGACAACTCGACCAACCAGGCTGGTGGCGGTGGCGAGTACGAGGTTGTCGAGGGTTTCGGCTGGACCAATGGTGTGCTGCTGTGGGTCGTCGATACCTTTGGCAACAACCTCACTCGCCCCGACTGCGGTGACATTGAGGCGGCCAATGTTCAGCCGTCGAAGCGCAGCGCCGTTGAGCTCCACCGTCGCGATGCTGCCTGGACCAAGAAGTTTGGTAGCCGTAGTGCGAAGGGCGAGGCGAAGCGGTTTGCCAAGTTGAGGGGGTATTAATGGTGGAGTGTTGAGGTTAATACAGGGTTTGTATGTAGTTACGAGGACGAATGTTTTCTTGGAAAAAGCAATAATGCCACGATGAAGATTTATACCCCAAAATGATCTTGGCAGTGGTATGTCTGACTCTTCTTGTAGGCCTCCCGCTCCCGCAGGAAAGCTTGAGGTCGGCTCCTTGGTTGTCAGGGCCTCAGTCAGGGCCTCGGTCAGGGAGCGCCCCCTTTACCGTCTCTCCGCGTACTCGAGCCAATATGGTCGGTGTCGACAGTCGGCCGCGAACCCGAATTGTTCCTCGAGCTTCATCTTCATGATCTCGCCCTGCGATAGTGGGAAAATCGCAGCGTTTGATGAGCATCGAACCACCATTTCGTTGAGTGTAGGCTCAAGGCGATTCAGAAAGACGTGGAGCTGGGATGTGACGACTGGTAGTCCTGCCCAACACCCAGCAAGATGTAACTCGCTGTCTCCGACATGACACGCATGGGCGCTGATATTCAGGTTTTGTCTTATACAATGTAGTGCCTTCCGATGTGAGACGCCTGGCCTGAGTCGACCCTCACCTGGTAGGTAGGCAAGCAAGGCAAGCAAGGCAAGCAAGGCAAGCAAGGCAAGCAAGGCAAGCAAGGCAAGCAAGGCAAGGTAGGTAATAAGGTAGATCAGAGCACGAAGCCCCACTAATCCCAACCTGGACATGGCGCTGTCTACCGCAAATCCCAGACCCCCAATTGAAGATGTTCAATCCCCTACAAACGACCTGCAAATTGTCCGCCACCAAGCACATTGCGCTCGCGATCCCTCAAACGACCCATGCCCCAAACACAAGCAACCTCACCTGATTGACCAAACCACGAACACATCACAATGCATCCCCATTTGCACACAAAAGACAACATTGGTGAGCTCCCCCCCGCAGCCCGCCCGCCCGCCCCCCCGTCGCCCGTCCCACCGCTGACCGATCCGGGCCACCAGAGTGCGAGGACGTCATGAACGCCCTCGAAGAGTGCCACGCGCGCGGCTTCCTCTACAAGTCCCTCGGCAACTGCAACACGGCCAAGCAGCACGTCAGCGACTGCCTCAAGGTGGCGCGCATGAAGCGCCTCGACGCCAACCGCGCGGCGGGCAAGGCGAAGCGGGACGAGAAGGCGCGCAAGATTGCCGCGATCAACAAGGAGCTGGGCCTCGACTAGAGGCAGAGAGACGAGTCTCTGCCGGCCCTTGTCCAGGCGATGGGAGGGGGCTTGGGACTACTTTGGTGGAAACTCGATTGCCGTCAACACGGAAAGGGGGGGGGGGAGTAGTGGTACGATTATTGTAACGATATCGCGGGCCGGCATGCGCATCCTGTACATCACGGGGTTTGGGAAACATGACAACCGAAAAAAAGCATGGGGGAAAATGGGGGGCGTTTTTATGGTTTGTAGGCATGTGTATATGGTTTTCATCACATGAATCTCGACTCGTTGCTATCTCGAAACGAAACAAGAAAAACCCAGTTCTCTCTCGTCCTGGACACACAGACCGTCACTCGTTCGAAACAGTTCAGGCGCCGCGGCGGAAGGCGTCGCCAAACGTGAAGAGGCCGAACAGGGAGAGCACACTGAGGAGGATGGGCACCGGCTTGCGCAGACGGATGGCGCGGGGGATGGCGGAGCCGCCGAGGACGGCGGAGGCGAGAAGGCTGAGCTCGACGCCGTAAGGCTCACGGCCCTGGATACGGTAGCCGCCGAGACCGTCTGATCATGGTCAGTTTGGTATGCTTCAAGAATCCGCAGCAGCAGCTCTTCTTGAACGAAGCCAAGGCAAGCGGAGGGAGAGGGGACACTGACACAGCAGACCAACGGTGACACCGGCGACAATCGAGGGCACGGAACGGGTCTTGACGTAGCCCATGATGCCGCCGCCCGCCGTGAGGGCGCCCAGGACGAAGGAGGGGGTTGAGAGTTCTCGTGTAGCGGCCTGGTTGTGTCAGTTGGGTACTCTCATCATACGTGTTCAATGGCGGGGCAGAGCCAACCATTGTGAAAAGCGATGTGTATGCTCGATGGCGTGGTCTGCGGAGGGGAAAAAGGTGAGTGTGAAGGTTTGATCAAGTAGTTTTATGGGTGGGATTCAAGCTTTGGAATGAGAGGGGGGGTTAGTTCAAGTTCCGCTGGTGCTCGGGACTTGGTGAAGCTCGGCTGCTTCTGGTGACAGTTGCTGCTGCTGCTGCTGCTACCACTACTGCTACGGCTTGGAGCGTGTCCCTTGACCAATCCAGCTGGAATACATGATGTAATGCTGACCTGACTAATGCGTGCACGTTTACCGTACCCCGGATTCCCCCAGCACCCTGTCAATGCCTGTCCTGCCTGTCCCTCGTGTGGCTGGACCTCTGTGGCGCCCAGCGGGACAGGTGGCTCGAATGCTGTCGTGTCCGCTACTGGGATGGGGGTGTGAGCTTGGTGGACTGTACGTACTGCCTGCAACCTCCACCACCTGTCGCCAACAGCACCCCCGAAAGCTCTCGACGCCAGTTCGCCGGCACTCACGACTCCCATCATACCCTCTTCAGCACCCAAGTCCGCCTCAACCGATCACATCGACACAATGGCGCCCAAGAAATCCGCTCAGGTGCCCCCCGCCGCCGCCGTCGCCCCCGCAGGCCCGACCGTCGCCGCCATCCCCGGCACCATGACCTCCCAGCCCAAGGCTGCCTCCTCCAAGGCCGCCAGCGCCAGCGGCAACGCCGACTGGACCCAGGCCGTCAACCAGCTCCTCGACCACTACCAGAAGAAGACGCCGCAGCGCACCAAGCTCATTGACGTCTTCCTCGCCTTCCTCGTCGTGCTCGGCGGCGTGCAGTTTGTCTACTGCGTGCTCGGCGGCGGATTCGTACGTGCTTTGCTCTCCGGGAAAAGGGGAGGCACTCGAGAAGAAACCAACATGTGGCTGACTTGTCTTTCTCTCTGTGCAGCCTTTCAATGCCTTCCTTTCAGGTTTCTGCGCTACTGTTGGACAATTCGTCCTGACTGGTGAGTCGTCGCGTTCGGGCAGCGATGGCGGGCGACGTACTAATCCTGTCGGCAGTTTCCCTGCGCATGCAGACGACCGAGGCGAACAAGGCCGACTTTCCTTCCGTGTCCCCAGAGAGGTAGGAAAGTTTATGCCACATGGTACGGCCATTTGACTGACGTGGATCCAGATCCTTTGCCGACTTTGTCATTGGCAGTTTGATCCTACACTTCTTCGTCTACAACCTGATCAACTAGACGAGGCGCAAAACGCATGCGTGGCAGAGACATTTGCGTTTCGGATACAGAATACATGCTCAATGGAGGGCACGGGTCGTTCAAGAGATCTGAACACGTGCCTGCGGGCATGAGGCCCGGCAGTCAGTCGACATGCCATTGCTTCACCGGACCGAGAGGAGAAGCCAGGTGGCAGGCGTGGCAGATGGACATGGGAGCGCCATACTGTATGATACTGAAGCCAACAACAAAAGTAGCGTCGACTAGAGCAGAGAACGCATAGAGATCCTCAATGGGAATCATGAGACATGGCTTGATTTGATCCTACAAACATTCGCTAACTCCATTCCCACTTACTCCTTGGGCGGCTCTGTAGAAGCCGCTCGCGGCGGCGGCGGCGCGCCTGCTTTGGGTGGTGGCGCCACGGTGCCGGAGCTCTTTGGCGCGTGGTCCAGCGCCCGACTCTTCTCCTCGCCCTCCTTGAAGTAGTCGTCCATCAGCGCGTTCGGGCTGTGGCCGTGCCTCTCCTTCTTCTTGGACCGCGTGGGCACGCCGACGGGCGGCGCCGCGCTGACGAGCTGCGCTGGCACGAGCAGATCCTCCGACGGCGTTTCCGTGCGGGAGACGAACCCCTCGGACCCGTCTGCCGGCAGGCCACCGGGTCCCGCCTGCGCTGCTGCTGCCGCCGACGCGGCGCCCCCGTACGCCGCCGACGGGTCCTTCTCCATGTCGAACAGCATCTCGCCCGGCGCCGAGACGGGCTCGTTCAGCGGCGCAGGCAGGCGGTGCAGCGCGCCGTAGCCGAGCACGCAGCCCAGGGCGCCCTCGCCGCCCCACTCGCGGCTCGGCTGGATGGTGACCTCGCGCGTGACGTTGTACTCGTTGTTGTAGACGTACAGCCGCAGCGGCCGGCCGATGAAGTCGTCGACGAGCTCGCTGAGGCCGCTCTCGCCGTGCAGCGCCCCCTCGGGGCTCGCGAGGATGTAGTCGCTGTAGGGCAGGAGGCCGGCCAGGTCGGCGGGCGAGTTGGCGGCGACGTCGAGGACGTGCCAGATGTTGGCGACGACGGCGAGCGCCGTCCACTGCAGGCTGAGGCCGAGGGAGGCCGAGTCGGCGGGGACTGGGATGTGGAGCTCGCGCGTGCGCTGGCCCTTGGCGCTCCAGAGGGCGAGCGACACGGAGCCGCCGGCGCAGTTGCGGACTTCTTGCGCAAAGAGGGCGGCGTTGGGGCTATCCTGTGCGGACGGGGGCGGGGTTCAGTGATGAGCGGGCAAGGGAGAGAGAGGCGAGCAAGAGAAGGGGTGGACGAACGAGGGGCCTGCCGTTGATGCCAATGATGAAATCGAACCACGGCTCGATAGAAAGCTCTAGATTTGTGTTGCGCAGGACCTGGAAGCCAAAGGAACCCCCGCGACTTTGTTGTGTGGGCTGCTCTCCGTCCAAGCGGGACATGAAGCGGTTGAGTGCGCTGAACATGGTGCCAAGTGGTGGCGGTGCGCTGGCTGACTGTTTGCGTTCTTGTGGTTGGGGAGACTGTCAGGGTGTATGATCGTTTCTATGCGTCGCCGAATCGGCCTGGCTGTCGTCGTCGAGGGTAAGGTAGGCGTGATTAAGTGGCGTTGATGGATATGGCAGGTTGGCGTGGGGAAAGGGTCTCCGAGCTTCAATCGAGCTTCGCGCAAGCTGTCATTCACACATCGCAGCCTTGCAGCTGGTCCAAGCTCCGGGCGTGGACGCTAATGAATTCGATGTGGGGCGTCTTTTCCATCCTTCAGCCTTTCCATCTTGTGAACTCATCTGACAATCCTCTTCTAACCACGCTCAGTCTCGCCAAAGAGACGTGCTCATCAGTCTGTCAACCGACATGTGACGAAGACGCACAGATCGGCTCAACAGTGACGAGGCAACATGACCAGGATGGAACCCGCACCTCGGATGCCCCTGACTGATGAATGCCATCACTATGAGACCAAGGCAGAAGTGCCATGGGACCTCCAAAAGTACGTGACGCTCGTGCTGTCTTATCACAGGATTCCCCGAGAGACTGACTTTCAGTAGATACTTTTCCCAGCGCTATTCCATATTCCAGTATTACGATGATGGCGTCTATCTCACCGACGACGCCTGGTTCGGCGTGACTCCCGAACCAGTTGCCACGTCAGTTCATTGCTCCAACTTGTTTCTTCTCCCCTCCCTCAACAGGTCACTGATGATCTCCCAGCCAGGTCGCCCAAGACATGTCAGCGTCCCCGGCCACCAGAAGGGTCTTGATCGATCTCTTCGCCGGCGCCGGCGGCAACACCATCGCCTTTGCCCTGTCCTCGCGCTGGGACAAGATCATCGCCATCGAGCGCCACGCCCCCACCCTCGCCTGCGCCCAGTCCAACGCCGCGCTGTACGATGCCGACGACCGCATCACCTGGGTCCACGGCGACTGCTTCGACTACCTCCGCCGTCTGCGCACGGATCCGGCCTCCCTTCACGAGGATCTCCAGGTCAGCCCCGCCGAGACGGTCATCTTCGCGTCCCCGCCCTGGGGCGGCCCCGGCTACAGCACCGCCGACGTCTTTGACCTGCGCTTCATGGAGCCGTACAACCTCCAGCACCTCCACGACGCCTGCTTTCCCATGGACCATGCGCTTTACCTGCCGCGCACGAGCGACCTGCGCCAGATTGCCAAGCTCGCCCCCGGAGACGACAAGATCGATGTTGTGCAATACTGCATGAAGGGGGCGAGCAAAGCCCTCGTGGCCTACATCCCGGGCACCGCTAGTAAGCCTGGCAAAAAAAGGCCAGTAGAAGCATAATAAGAAGCCAAAAAAAAAAAAAAAAAATTAAAAAAAAAAATTGAAAACCGTGCTATTTTGGGGGGCCCTGGTCGTCCCGTCGCTATGAAAACACTTCGTCCTTCTCTAAGTCTACAATGCCCGTACAATGGTGCGTTCATCAAACACGTCCTTGAGCAGTCCCTCGATGCAAAACTCCAAGTCTAGCGGAGCCATCGCATATGTAGATTCAAACGCAAATATGCTGAGCTGGCCGAAAAAGGGCCGCAGAATCTTGGCCACGAGCTCGTCTTTCCGGTCGATCGTCACCTCGTCCTTGATGCCGCCCGCGCCAAGGAGAGGCCGTCTGTGCGAGCTGCTGGCGGCTAGATGCGCTGCCGACTCGTTGTGGAAAGCCGAGTTGGCGGCGACCTGGCCCAACTCTTCTGAGAGCTCGTCGACCAAGGCGACAGGCTGGTAGTTGGAGGCTCGGTAGACAGCGTCAATCGTGTCCGTGATGAACAACCACTCGTGCAGCTGGAAGTCGTCCGGCGCAACGCAAATGAGGAGGTCGAGCAGTTTACACGCCTGGAGAATGGATATGTTGTTGTACGTTTCCGATGCTGAGCTGTGGTCGGGTGCTACGACGGACGAAATGGCAGAGTGTAGCTCCGCGTTGATGATCGGCCACATCAAGGCGAGATGAATGGCGCTCGTCCTCAGGACCAAGGCTCGCACGACCATGAAGATATCTGACCTGGTGCTAGAGGACGGAGACGATGTCGAAGTGGCACCCAGCAGCTCCACCAACTTCTCCAAGATTGTTGGTAGATCTGACACAAAGGTGTCTTCGCTAGCTGCAAGCACGAGGGTAGCTACCCTGCGCAGATTGAGCTGTGTCTTCCTGTCGGCCTCGAGCCTGGCAGATGTCGCGCCGACGCCGAATACGATACCTGCAGTCGTAGGGGGGCTGATGCGAGCCAAGATGTCAGGCATGCGGTCCTTGTCACTAAGAGTCCATTGGCGCAACAGGGGCAACCAATCACTCTGCACTAACGGCAGACCGGTACCAAAAAATCTGCCGTCGTTGAAAGCATCGCCAACATCCTTCTTCCACGTCTTCTGGTTGTTGGGTAGCCTGGCCAGTTCTTGCAGCAGCTCTAGAGTGCTGTGGGTGACCGTCTCAGGGAAACCCTTTGCTCGAAAAGCCGGGCCAATGACGTTGGCGGCGATCGTACCCGCTGCTGAGAGAACACGGTCATTTTCGACCAAGACCTTGGGCAGGGTCGGGACGATCGAGGCTAAAATAGCGACCACATCCTCGGCTCTATCAAGACTGTTCATGGTTGTTCGCCGACTGATGTCGCGGGACTTGTCACCCTTGTCCGAGGCTGTGTCGGCAAATGACATGGGTTTCGTGGTGAAGATAGCCGTCAATAGACGGAGGAACAGATCCTGCATTTCAATTAGCATCTCAAAGTCGACTGAGGTGTCAACAGACTCACGCCAAGCTCACGACGCATCTTCCGCTGCTCGCCAAAGTTGGTATTGTCGACCTTTTCACCGAGTATAGCTGCGAATTCAAGTAGGCTGGGAAGGGTCTGCCGATGCGGGAAAGGATTGGCAAGTAAATCTCTGAGGAAAGCCATGCAGTCCTGCCAGATCTCGTCCATTGCGTCGTCCTCGAGCGAGCGGGCATACTCCACTAAAAAGGTGACCAGATCGGTGTCTTGCAGAGAGATAGTGAGTGTTGACCTCCTGGCTGGTTCGAGAGCCTGAGGATTAGTCCTGCTGTAGATTGCATTGAAGATCGCTGGTATGGTATGCCGCGGTCGAGAACCGTCGAGGGCCGGCAGAAGCTTGAAAACCTCGGATTGCTGTGCTGCTGCAGATGCCTCGATGGAGGCGCGCCAGATGCCAATGGCTGTTTCCAGGCACTCTAGCGTCTCTGCCGCAAAGAGGTGCTCCAAGAGACGCCGTGCCCTGTTCCGCATCCGCAGCGACGTATAGTTGAAAGACGAGACAGATGTGATGTCCTGCGCCCTGACGTCTGCTCCTTGGCCCCAAGACCAGATGGTGAAACAAATGCGCACAGCATCTTGGAAAGCTAGATGCACAGTGAGCCGGTCGTTGGCTGTCACGCTACGCGAATGTGATCCGTCTGATGCGAAGACACCAGAGACCATGTTTCCGAAGAACCCTTGTTGTTGGTCCGGGCCCTTGACCACTTGCGTCCTGGCCTCTTCAGCCAGGAGGCGCTCGTGTCCCCGGGCTAGAACCTGCTCGAGTGCATTCAGCAGTGATATGAGGGTTGATTCGGGCGCATTCCACTCATCAGACGCCACGCTGTGCGCATCTCTGAACGTGGTTTGCAAGTTATCAAATGTAGCCGATACCTGCTTACACAGCGTCTCGACCAGGGGAATAAGAACTTGGAAGATTGTTTCCGAATAAAGAGGGAGACACTCTGTGAGGAAGCTGACCCAGCTGTCGAGCACGCTGCGACTGCTCGTGGCACTCAAGCCGGATTGTAGACACTTGAGAAGTGATGGCGGAGGAGATAGGATGCGTGGTCCTGCTTCGTGCTGCATGGAAGATCGAGGGCCCCTGTTCGGTTCCACGCTCAGCTTGCCCTTTTCTGACGTCGGCGATGTGGGCAGTTCAGGTGAAACGTGATGTCTTATCTTCAGCGTCGCAAAAACGACATCCAAAAGGAGCACCTGAACGTAAGGATCAGGCCCCGTAAGAGCCTGGGACAGCCGCTCGATGAGGGGCTCCTCTAGATGTAGGCTTGACAAAGACTCCGCGTATGGATTGAGGAGGATCTGGTGCAACAAAGTCAAGGCATATCGATACAGCTGTGTTGTTCGGACCTTGCTCTGCTCCCCTCCAGGGCAACTTGCTCCGGCGATGCAACGCATGCAGACCTGCAGAAAGAACTCCTGCAACGACACGTCTCCCTCGCGGCCGACTAGTTTAGGTCAGCGTTTGAAGTGGGTGAATGAATTAGGTGAGAAAACTTACCGATGCGCGCGATTTCTGGTCGACTGGCATTGTGATTGAGAGTCGATGAAACCAGAATCGACCAGATGGCATCAGGGGCCCAACGGAAGACATTTGACAGTGTCCGAAGGTAGTATAGACATGTATCGAGGTCGTCATCATCAGAGAAGGCAGCTGACCTGTCCGTCCCCGCATTGCCACCCGCACTGCGACGTGCTCCGAGGAAGCTCATGGCAGAGAACTTGGCAACAAAAACGAGAAAGAGCTTGTCGATGCCTACCAGGCTATTTAACCAAGACTTGACAGTCATGAAGAGCTGCGTGCGCTCATCGAGTAAGGCGTCAAGCATGAGGAGCAGAGGTCTCGTCAGCATCACATCGTAATGGTCAGCGCCGCTGAGTCGAGGAAGTGGCAGCCGTTCTAGGGTGGGTGTCCTCGAACCCCTTCGGTCTGACTGGGAGTCATTGAGGGTATGAGACCACAAAACAGTAAATCTGCGGCCAGGGTCGGCTCGACGTGCCGCAAACGCCCCTTGCGTGTCTTTTTCAGTAATCAGTTTCGATAAAGCGGCTTCGATGTCGCGGCTTTGAGGCGAAAGCACTGACTGGAGTTGCCACAGGAGTCGGACCGTTTCGACGTGATATTTCGGCTCCGAGACTGCGAGATAAGTCCACGCATGCCGAACAATTGGTGCCACAAGATCAGCTAGGTCTTCCAAGGATGTCCTTTTTGCAAAATACAAGTGGCTCGACAGATGTACCACAGAACTGAAGGAGGAGAAGGGGAGGCTAGTATCTTGAGCAAGCCGTGCGTGTAGGCATGACAAGATCTGAGCTGTGTCAAGATCGTAGCGAACCGAGGTCTTCACAAGCAACGCAGTGAGAAGCCTTCCCTTGGTTCCTAGCTCCAGGCTAGTGGTAGACAACCCTTCGCAAATAAGCCTGCCCGATTTTCGAACAAGCAGTTCGCCTACTTCCACCGGAGTGAAAGGAGCGTTAGCGGCATCCAGACTTCCCTGGTCGTTGACGTAGAAGGCCTTGATGCGCTTCAAGAGCTCGATGACAGGCAATGAAACCAACACAGCGGCCTCCATTGTCCTTGCCGGTTTGTCCTGCGTCGGAAAAGCCCTTTCGGGGATGAGATCGAACAGAGACAGGGCGATTTCTAGGATCCTCTCGGTGACCGCTTCGAGTCGCAGCGTCGCCTGATCTGGATTGTTCTGTCTGTCTTGAGCATCCTCCAACATGCACAGTATGCTGAGGGCGGTAAGAGGTGCGTGTATGGTTATCATTTCCTCCTCCCTAATGTTGAAATTTGCGAGTATGAAGGTGACGAGGTCCAGCTTATCCAGCCGCTGAGCTGTGGAGAGACTACTGGGACCAATTGCCTGCGCCAGCAGGCTAACCATCTCACCATAGATGAGGCCACTTTCGACGCCGTCGAAGAAGACACTGGCACTCTTGAAAACCTCATTGAAGTCGTTCTTGTTGGAGGACTGACCCTTGTACTGGCGGACACTATCGACGATGGGCAGGAAGACTTCAGGCACGACAAGCCCTCCAATCTCCCAGCGGTCCATCAGCGAAAGGCATATCCTGTAAGGCCGAGCTCTTTCCGTAGGGCTTGCGTCTGAGGATGCCTGGATCATCGCCAGTAGTGCTTGAGTCAAGGAATGGAGCCCATGATCTTCAAAGTAGCTCGTTTTGGAAGTGAGGTAGGATTGTGGGTGCTCGACTGACAGCGGAGATTCGACGGTGCTTTCGTTGTCGGCTGCTGGGGGATCGGGGCCCAGGAACCATGCCCAAAGTCTCCTGTTCAAACTCATGTCTCTCCTGATGACGACGCCAGAAGCAGCCCGCAGGAGAAGCTCTAGGTCGGCAGGCTTGACCCTGGTTTGCAGTACCTTGGAGTGCAATGGCAGGTGGGTGACCAGGAGGTCCAGGAATCCTCTTTGGATCAGGAGCTGCTCGTCGGCCAAGCCTGCGGCGAAGCATCGAAGGAGTAGACCCGGCTCCGGTGATGTCACAATACGTCCGAGC